TTGCAGTAATGTTGTATACATAATGTTACATAACGTAACATAACGTAAGGAGACTGGGAGATTGATGCATATAAAGATATATAGTATGACGGCTGTGATGGACAAACAGCATATAAATAGGCAGTAATGCATATATATATATATATATGTATATGCTGAAATGTAAACAGTAAGTAACCAGGTAAGTAAGGTGGAACCAGTACAGTAGAATATGTATGTATAGTACTAATAAGTACAGTATGACAGTAGTATAAACTAGGAAAGTGTGACATCAGTGTATCAGTGCAGAGTGAGTAAAGTGTCGTAAAATCAGCGACTTACAAATAAAGCACAGCATTATCACAACACATGATCTTTTTACTGTATTCTACAGTTTCCTCATGCAGGATTAACCAGGCAAAAACCAAGCAGACTTAATCTTTTCAAAGAAATTGTGGGGACTGTGAGGCAGACATGCAGGCGGGCATATCTTTGTTTTAGTCACTGACACTGAACCACAGGCTGTTTTACATGAAGAGGTCAGGAAGTCACTGAGCTCTGTGCACTAACTCTTTCTGTCAATGTGTCACACATACACACATTCATATACACAGAAATACTGCCATAATATACAGTAAATGGCTTACTTTGCAAAACAAAACCCTGTTGCAAAAACAACATGTCCTTTATATTACACGCACACACACACCTACTGTATTCAAACATCATCAAAAATGTTGTATATATTGTATCCAGATTTTACAGTTCTCACTTAGCTACCCAATATTTTAAAATATCAAAATATGTTTCCAAAAGTGCTTTTGATGGAGTGATTGCTTTGACATGAGTGGTGTAGTTCTCACCCTCTGAGGGAGCATAGTTTTTATTCAAACAGCGCAGATAAGAGTGTTAATGTGTCTGAATGCAGCAGGGCAGGTTCTGCCTTTTGTCTTGCACATTACTAAATATACCAGACAGGCTTCTGTGTTGACTTCTCTCCTCTCCTAAACTATTCCCCACCTCACATTCTCTTTGTTTGACTGTTAAATGACTTACTGTGTAGGGGTGTATTGGAGGCTTCTACACCCTCAGAAAAAATGATGATGACACTGGATATTTTCTGACTGCAGGGCTTATTGATTATGAGCTTTTTGTATTCTTTCAGTCTTTTTGTTGAGTTTTTGTTGCACTCTGTAAGTGTTTTTCTTCCTTTGGACTTTTTCATAAAAAAGGCTCATTCATTCATTTCAATAAAACTCTACATTCAAAGGTACAAAAAGAGCTTCACCCACTCTCTGCTTCAGTAACCTGATCCCCAGCCTTTGCTTCAGCCCATTTTGGACCGAATTGTTCCTGTGGTGAGGAAATATGAATGTGTTTCATTAGTTTTGCAACTTTGTCCCCGAAGGAACGATTTCACATCTCTTGTATGACCTGTTGGTTTCACCACTTTTTCCTGAACCACTGCTTTCAGACTCTCCTCCTCCCTCTCTTGAAGTTAACATTTCAGTAATCGAAATTTTGTTTAATGATGCCGCTTTTTTTCAGTTTGTACTTTTTGTTCATTCAACTCCTGTCTCAGTCAGTGTCTTTGCCCGGTCAACGATACTTAAAAGATTTCACACGGAAAGGTTAATGCTCACGTACACACACAGCGTCAGTCCGTCTCGTCGATACGGTAGCTTGCCAGACCTGCCTTCCAATTTGCCGTTGGCCTTTTGTTATTATGTCATGAATGAGGCAATAGCTGATAGAAAGTACTCCTACACGATGTACTCTTACCTGGAAGACAAGTTCTGACATGTGGGAATCTGAGAACTGCCAGGAGACACGCACGTGCTTCACACACACACACACACACACACACACACACACACACACACACACACACACACACACTACAAACACAACACACTGCATACACCTTACTAATCATCTGTCACCTTTCATAATGTCTGACAGGTTGTTTGCCCACACAGCACTCACAGATACAAACTTGTTGGTGGCAGTAGATTTTGTACTACAGTGTTTCCGTGAACAGTCTCAGGAGAGAAGTTACAGTACAAACTTGTTTTCATGACATGATTTAAGCACCATGGTTTAACTGCCCGGCTGCAGCCACCTTCCTTTTTCTCTTAGTTGTATTGAAAAGTCTGCAGAGTACAGCGCATAAATTTCCTAAGATAAGGGTTTTTTCTTGAAGACTCTAGGGTGCAGTTTGGTTTCTTGAAGTGGTCTGGGGACTTGCTCTCTGTCACCCCTTTCACTTTATCTCTCCTACTGATCATCTCAAGAGCTCTCTCTCCCACTAAATTTCTGTCTCCATATGATGACTTGACGCCAACCAGGACACAAGTCGCTCGAATGCTCCATCTATTTTAGTTTAGATTGGCTGGCAACCGGCCAACAAACGGAAAAATAACCAGGTTTCTTTGGTTATTAATAGTCAGCATTTTCCCCTGCAGAAGCTTCCAAGACAGTGGAAGCTACAGCCTGTGGACACACACACACACACACACACACACACACACACACACACACACTCCTTTCCCTCTTGCTTTTTCTGAAACAATGTCACAGTCGGTGTGAATTTTAAGTGGATCCCCCCGCTGATTTTTGTTGCCACAGTCCAAACAAGCAAAAAGGAAACAATAAGTAGTTGAGAAAGGAGGATGTTTGCTCCACGGGGATGTTTTGCCAAGTAATTTGGAGCCATTTCAAGCCATTTCTATACCTGGAGCTACTGTGCCAGCGGAGTATTGCTATTTTAGTTTTGTCCTGTTGCATAATTCAACACATTCTTTGTTACAGTTTTTCCAAATCAGGGACTCAAGGTTGATGAGAGGAGGGTTATTTTGAGATTCGATGTTGGTTACAAAAAGTTGTTTGGCAGGACAGGTGGTTCAGTACACAGACCTTTTACTCTATTGATTATTTATAAACTGTTGCTAGTTTATCTTTTCCTTTTTAGACTGACTTTAGTTTAAATCAAGGTCAGAATTCAAGCATGACTTACCCCTTCTTTAAAGAGAAGAGAAAAAATGTGGGAAAACATTCCTGTAGTGGAATTAAGAAAGACACATTGATCATCATCAGTAAGTGTTGATAGATGGACGAACATGTTGTTGGTTTTGGACTTTTAATTTGTTGACAAGAACAAAAATAAAGAATATCTTCAGCCTTACCCTTTAATATTTCAACCAGAATTCTATGTAGCCTTCCTTTTAAGAATATCAGTATCATAAATATATAAACTATTTTTTGTAATAGATTGAAACATGTTCTAACACTTTTATCAATAGGGCCTGTAGTTGAGAAAAGCTACATTAACAATTCAATACATCACATAAACAAGATATTCTACTCATTTCTGACTCACCAAACAGCCTTGTACAAACTTACCCCTGATTATGTAGCATTGTATGTAGTTTGCTTTGTGTGGACTGTAGTAACCGCTGATGACTGAACTTTGACCATCTCAGCCGACTTCTCTCCTCTAATGTCTGATCTGAGTTAGGTATTTGAATGACCGAAGAGCCTTCATTCATTTGTATCAACAAAGAGTAGAATACAGTTGTATGTAAAAGTTGGGCACCTGTTACCTATTTTGAATATTTTTTAATTGAAAAGATGTAAACATAGCCTTTCTAGGACATAAAACACAATATTTTCAGCAGAGATTTATGCATAGGTTACATTTTATGTCATTAAATGAACAAAAATAAAAACAGCATTGTGGTATGTGCAAAAGTTTGGGCACCTTAAGAGTTCTGCAGACTCTGATTTTTTTCTCGGTCTCACATCTTCATCAGCTCCTTAGGCCTGAAGCACATTAACAGTAGTCATTAGGAAATGTCAGCTGATGCCAAGTTCAAAGCTTTACATATGCTGTGACTCTTCAAACGTTGTGTGAGCACTCACCAACTAAAGGTTCCGCTAAGCAGCTGTGTAAGACTGAAAATGAAAGTTATTGATGCCCGCTAATGGAGAAGCTAGACAAAGACAGCAAAGCGTTGTCAGCTTGCAGTTTCCACAGTGTGAAATGTAATTTAGAGATGGTAGTTTATGGGAACTGTGGTGGCCAAGGGGTTACTAAGTACTGACAATGTAAGGTGCCCAAACATTTTTCACACACCACAATGGTGGTTTGGTTTTTTATATTTTTGTTCAATTTATGATATAAAACGTAACTATGCATTCATGTTTGCTGAAAATATTTTATTAATGGCCCACGTCATACATCTTTTTCTCTTGTTTACATCTTTTCAATTAAAATATCACCGAAATATGTGATTTGTCAAGAGGTGCCCAAATTATATCTAGACAGAGCTGTGTGGTAGAAATCTGTTCCCAAGACTCTGGCGTTAATTGAGCAAATTATTCCCACAGACAAAGTAGGGAAGTCTGAAAGTTTATTGGGATCTTAATTAACAATCCGTAAAACATTTCAACACTCAGAAGGTGCAGCCCGTTCTACTCCAAAAGCTAGAATCTTACATCCTTGGCCCCAGACAGACTGAGGCTCAAACAGTCCCTACTCTCTGTGTGCTTTAGTTGGGCAATCACACAGTGAGCCACCCAAACAGCAACAGAGGAAGACGGTGTTTTGAGCAGAAGAGATGTTCCTCAGTGCCAGAGTTCGCCTTGTACTCCCTGTGACACAATCTGCCTCCCTGTTTACCAGATAACAGACACACTGCAGGAATGAGCTGGGGGACCAGGGGTACTCACCATGGATTGTTTTGGGGTATTCTGAACGGACATATTTAATCATTAACACTAAGTACAATGTAGCATGTGGGCTGGTGCGTGTATATTTTCATCTTTCTTTCTCCCTTCCTCTCTTTCTCTTTTCATTTTTAATCTCATCCTCCCTTTTCTTTCTCTGTCTCTCTAACTTTTCCTCTACCTCCCCTCCTCTCTCTGGTTCCTCTAGTGCTGTTTTCTTTTAACAAGGCCACATATAGTCAACAGAGGATATTGCATCAGCTGTCTCACCACTGCTTCATCTCTCTCTACAGTAGACATGGTGGACACCCAGCAGCTCCTAGCCTGGCCTGTCGGTTTTAGTCTGAACGCCGTGGACCTGTCAGAGCTGGACGACAGCTCCCACTCCCTCGACATGAAGCATTTGTCCACGTTGGACTACGCCTCCATCTCCTCGTCCTCCATCCCGTCTTCCTTGTCTCCCTCGCTTGTATCCTGCATCTCCCCTGCTGGTGTGGCCTATGACCCCAGCCCAACGCAGAGCGAAGAACACCTGACCAACATGGACTACACCAACATGCACAGCTACAGGATGGAGCAGGACACGCACAGTAAGTCCAGTCTGTACAATGGGTTAAGCAGAGCTAAAACATGTTATCTAGTTTCTTTACACCAATTATTTGCGCACCAAGCTTTGCAGCTAAATTCAGTTGCAGGGGGGTAGACACAGAATTACGCAACTTGTTTGAAGTGGCTCAAGTCATAAAAGCATAAAAGATTGATTCTACCTGGCACGCACGCCTGCATTGCATTGTAGCTGTGACACAGCCACCAGAGCTGACCGTGTCCATTGTAGACTATGCTAGTGATTCCACCAGACGCGTCCCAGTTCTCCACTCTGCTCTGCTTAAAATGCACATAGTTTTTTTTTTGACAGAAGCCACATCAAGGTGCACTGAGCAGATGAAGCTGGGCAGAAAGTCAAACCCCGAATGGCATGGAGCATCCGGTTCATTTTTCAAAATGAAACCCCCTGTGCAGACTAAATAACAATAAGATAAAATTACTTTATTTGTATAGCACTCTATTAAAAACAATGTTTGCAAAGTGCTTTACATACACTCAAAAACAGCAGCAGTAAAGAATATGCAATATATGAGACAATATATAAAGTAAACCAAAACAACCCAAAACACACAAACAGAGATACTATTAAGAACAGACAAACACTTAACATAAATATGTATACAAAAAAAATCACAGGGAGACAAAGGAAATATTATTTAAATTTGATAAAAGCCTGTTCTCTGTTGAGATACTGAGTGTGTTTTTAGAAGGGATTTAAAAGATGAAACCAATTTAGCTTGTCTAATTTCCTCAGGCAGGCCAATTGAAAGTACAGGCGTCCTAATATAGAAAGCACAGTCTCCAACAAGTAGACACTCCTATGGAAAAATTACCAAATCAACTAAATCTGGCAGGCAAAACGTGCTTCTGAAACGATCCTGGTAGTGTATGAAGCCACGTAGAGGGTGGAACAAAACAGCATTGCAGACGCACTATTATAGAGTCATGTCCAGTGGAATCAAGGCATTAGCTTTAATGAGAAAATGCATCAAGTATACCATGTTTAGAGGAGAGTTGGTCAAGATATTGATTAGTACTTGTGCTGAAAACATGAGAGTTGTGCATTACAGGATACAAAACCAGGTCAAACCTGGTTAACCAACAACCTTAAAATTTATGTAAGAGGTGAAATAAGAAAGTTTTAGCTTTTTGTATCTCCCCGTGCTTGGTGTTTCCTACCTGCCTGATAATGTTTTTTCCTGTTAGACTCAATCAAGCTGGAGCCGGAGTCGCCTCCACAGTTTTCTGACTGTCCCGTGTTCTCCAAGCACCAGGACGATACGCCGGCAGCAGCACTGAACATCGAGTGTCGCGTGTGTGGAGACAAAGCCTCTGGGTTTCACTATGGTGTCCATGCCTGTGAGGGCTGTAAGGTAGGACTGAAAAATATCACGATGAGTAAAGATGAAAATAAAATGTGTAAGCAAACCACATGCAAAATGTGGCCATTTACCAAACTGGGGGAGAATTTAAGGGTAATTTTGTCAGTGTTCTTTGTTGTAAGGAGAAAACTTATATGAGCCACACAACTGCGCTGGTAAAAGTGTTCTATCAGTACAAAGTATATGGGCACAGTAATTTAGAGACAGTCAATCCCATATACATCATCTTGCTACTAAAAATAGTCCCCAACAAATGCACTATTTGCATATGCCTGAGTAATGTTTGCTAAAAAAACACAATCTCCAGTTTTTTTTAAAGAAATTATTCATTTATAACCTTTTCTTAAAAATGTTTACATCTTTATTATAAATAAATGGGTTTGTAGCAGCCACAGACAAGGTCAGGAAGTCTTCAAGTATTGGGAGAAGGACAAAAGCATTGGTCTGTCCGTGGATTTGTTCAACAATCAGTAACACATTTGAACACCCAGAAGGCGCAGTCCGTTCTACTTTAAAATCTAGAAATTTACATCCTCGTCCTCAGAGAGACTCTGAGTCTCTGCTCTATGTGTGCTTTGGTTAGACATTTACACACTCGGGGCTCTGCTGTCATATTTTTGTTCAGTTTTCAAGAGGAAAGAAAATGGCCAAACCAGTTTTCCTCAATTTTTTATTTTATTTTATTTTTTAGAAAATCTGGCCATCAATGATTTGAGAGATGCTTATTATAGCTTAAATTGCAGAGCACAGTAGTGGAAAAAAAGTGATTGCTGCCCCAAAAAAAAGGTAATGCTCAAGATCAAGAAGAAAAAAAAAATTGACAGCCGTACCACCTCAGAGTCAAACAGGAAATGGCAAAGGGTGTAACAATTTCTACTGCGAATCGTTTTGTTTCTCTGCCAGTCTTCCTTTTTCTGTCACTGTGTTTCACTCTTCGGTGAAACATGTTGGTGGAATAAATAATTTATAATGCATGGAGAGAAGTGAGCATTCTTTCATCTTTTTGATGTCTGTCACTTTAACCACAAGCCCCATACATTTTCCACTCTGCAAGTATTCAACAAAGGCTTGTGCTTCTACAGCCAGCCCCTTAAACCCTTTATCTGTTTGTCAGTATAGAGTATAAATAACTAATAGAGTGGGGGTGAAGTTTCACACATATTTCCATTTTCTTTGAATTTTTGAGACATTATAAGAAGAGGAGCTATAAATTGTGACATTGTCCTCCAAAGACATATGAGATGGATTTTCAGAAACAGCAGCACTTCTACGTATGCTTTTTTGTGTGTGTTTTGTTGTGTTCATTTGATTTTTTTAAGTTTCCATGGGTCTGAATTTATTCCAGACAAATTAGTATAAAAAGCTACTGTGTTTCTGTCACATTCAGCACACTCTGCAGTGTAAGAAAAGCTCACCCTAAGCCTAACCCTAAGACTTTTGGTAGATCTTGTTAGATTAGATGAATTTATATTAGAATAAAAAGTAATCTACCATTTGAAAACATGGAAACCTCCTTCTCCTAACCTAAATTTTATTTAAGGATAGAATCACTTGTAAATTAAAAACATTTCCACTGAATTTTGGAATAAACAACCCACACTTTGATACCAAAACAGAAACTATGAAAATAGAAATACCTGTATGATGCAACTCAATAAAATTACATTAGACCTGGTGTAAATACTACATTTAAGAAATGTATTGATGATACTAACAAGTACTTCCTGTGTAGCCAAAGGTTGATATATCTTATTCCTTCATTGTTTATTTATTACCGTGAACACGGATATAGTTTCTGTCACATACACTATTTACTCCTGTTGGTGTAACAGCTTCTTAAAACTACTAATACTCAGCATTTTTTCCCCTTTTAAAAATGAACGTATGTGAGGGGGATTTCTGTTTTTAGCAGGAATCAACCGTCTCAGGGCTGAGAGCCACAGACAGGGAAGTCGGAAAGTATTGAGATACTTGTTGAGATGTTGACAATAAGTAAAATACAGAATATCAGCCTTATCTTTTAAAATGCTACACTTTCTGTTAAGATTACTGCTTTTGTTGTTTGTGTGTGGACATGATACGTGTTTTTAGGTTTTTACACTGTGGTGGTATTGTAATGGACTACATTATGGACTGCGTTTATAATATTTCAACAACCTTATTTAGATATTGGAGCAACAAAAGTATAGAAACGACTCACAGTGTAATACAATAAAATGCAATATTACCAACTAACTACAGCCTTAGAGTTAAATCAGCACCACTCTGACACTGTCAGGACTGGTTAAATCTACTACAAGGTACAAGGGTTTCTGTTTTTCCATTCACTTAGTTTAAGTCATACTGTACCTTCAGAGGCTGAATGAAGGTAAGGTACAGTAGTCATTGTTCTGCTGAAGTCTCAGGGGAGACTCACCAGAAGAGGGGGTCAGCCAAGCAGGCAAACACCTAATTGTTTCAAAACAGAAAACATTCTTTATTGAGGTGGAGTCTTGACCCCCTTTAACTTCCTCTTTCTTTAAATAACCTACTATTAAAAAAAGGAACATCTGTGGATCACAGGAATGCAGATGCCAAACACACCGGTGTTCATACAGAGTCCAGATGTGGATTTGTATTCTTTCAAAGAAAGAAAAAACACAAATACAATTCTCCTCATAAAAGCTTACAGCCTTCAGATTATTCATTCCGTGTCTTTTCTGCTCTCTTCAGTTCATCTTTCCATTAGCTTTCTTAGTCATCAGAGACAAGCACCACAGCCATCAACAAACCCGTGACTGCATGTAGGAGTGTATGTTGGGAGTTTGACCATGGTTGCATAGTTAATAGCTGAGATAAGCGCAAATCTTATGGCTCCTTTGGTCCTAAGGTTGAAAGACATCAAAGCACAAATCCACCCTGAAATACAATCTACTTTTAAATGCGCTCGTGGGCAGTATGATTGACTTCCTCACAGATTAGAAAGAGCCAGGTATCTAATCTGCATTATCAGTCAATAGATGCTGTATGGAGCTACTCCACCAACAACAAACTTGAGTCAGATGATGAATAATAAAGTAGAAAAACAAAAATATTTTTTATGCTTTTCACAAAAAAAGAGGATCTTAATCATAATCATAATCATAACATAATCATTTGCAATTTCATTGTTCTCTTTCTCTGTCTCAACTATAATACAGATGAATCTGTATTTATAAGGCTCATACAATGTTTTTAAAGTCTACCAACACCAATAGTTCCTAAGAAAACATTAAAACATATGTTTCCTGCAACTGTGACAGAAATCTCTCAATTCTTAGTAAAGGAAATAATTGTCCCTCTCTGTCTTTCTTTCTTTGTAGGGTTTCTTCAGACGCACAATCAGGTTAAAGTTGGTGTACGATCACTGCGATCTTCACTGTCGCATTCACAAGAAGTCCCGCAACAAATGCCAATACTGCCGCTTCCAGAAGTGCCTCAATGTAGGCATGTCACACAACGGTAAGATGGTGATACTGTCCTATACACCTTTTAGAACAATTAGTCTACAATCACACCATGTATGATGTAAAGATACACTTACGTATGATATTGGAACATTTACAGTTAGGCCATGAAAAGCTACGTACACAGACAATACAGACAGTAACACAAGTCAAAACGTCGGTGCATTCAGGTGTTTTCATTTTTATGCTCTCTATAAATAGGCAGACCCAGGTTAAAAGAGTGATTCTTTGAAATTGCGGGCCAGGAAATGTCTCTTTGCAGACTCTTCTGCCTCAGATGCCCTCTGAAGAAGAAAATACATCTACCCCGCACTGCTGCCAATTTGGTCTTTGAGGTGTGGTGGTAATACATGCAGCAATGTACACTACTGCCTTATATGTTGCCAGTTGCTTCCTCTGTGGTCTTTGGCCTGTATCACAACCTTTGGGTCATGCTTCAGTTCTCATCACTCTTGCAGTATACTTCTACAACTAGTACTGATTCAAAGATAAAATTGAGGTTGAAAGCTAAATTAAACACTCGGTTCCAAGGTCAAAAAGCAGTAGCTATGCTGATATTTGATGACTGACTGGTTTTCTTTGCTTGGAGACATTTTCACTGTGCACAAAAATGTGGTTTAGCAACCCCATGAATACAGCCGTAGATGCTTTGTCAGTTTTGCTGCTGTTTGAATGTATGCAGAGTTATGGATTGCAGTGTTAATTGCACAAGAGGTTTGCTCATTGTTTACGGTATGCTTACAAATCAGTGATGCAAGTGGACCGCTTTGTAGACAGCTGAGTTACAAGCCGAGTGTTCTAAACTTATATAAAAAGGACATATGACAGAAATGGTCCCAGAGTCCCAAAGTTTCTGATTATTTTTAATTTTTAATTTTTATGAGCAGACAATAATGAAAGCTATTTTTAAATTGAAAATGTTTGACATTTGAAAAAAAATTAGCTTGTTGTAAATACAGAATTGGCTACCATTGTCAGCTTACAATTTACAACCAAATCAAATGAAATGAGCAAATCCACATGTGCAGGCCTTGCACCCACACAGGTGTTGACACCTACAAATGCTAAGTCAGGGTATAAACGTACCGGTGCAAAGCTGCCGACACCTCCCACGCTCATACGCCTCCGGGCTGATAAATTTGTACTGACAGTACAAATGCAGTTTACTGCTGTGTCTGCTGTTGTTGCTGATCCCAGGTATGTATAATACTTTTTTTTTTTTTTAAGTTATTTTTTTGGCCTTTTATTGGCTTTATTCAATAGTGACAGCTGTAGATAGACGGGAAAGGTGGGTAGAGAGAGAGAGGATGACACGCAGCAAAGGGCCGCAGGTCGGATTCGAACCCTGGGTTGCCAGCTCTACCGACTGAGCTAACTGGGCACTGATGTTTAATACTTTAATACGTAGTGGTAACATAGTTCATTTATTTTTCGCACCGCCTGCGATCTGCCACACATTCTGTCTCTTTTACTCTGGTTTGTCTGTAGAGTTAGCCACTGAAACACAAGGTGAAAGCTATCAGCCGACGGCACCGCACAAGCTCCACAACAGAAGTACAATATCTAGAGAAATCGTGTACAATAATACAATTCTTTCTCCAGTGAAACATCTTTGCCCTCCTCCATGACTGTTCAGATGTAAAATGGTTTGGTTGATTGCCCTTTGTTGTTTCAAGCCTCATCTTATATCACTTGCTGACTTCATGTCAAGTCATGACTGTGTGGGGGCGTGGACAGGTTGTGCTTGATTGACATCTCCCTGACTTGCCTGTTAGTTTTGTTGCACCGATTTACAAACTTTATAATATCTGAATATTCTCAGCATAGTTTCGCGCACCTTGAGTCTTAAAGTCACATTTGGCTTTCGTCCAAAAAAAGTGCCTCCAATCTGCGCTACAGAAGGTTGAACAATCGAACTGTATCACAGTTTGTATTGGCTGGCTGATGCATTGAATTGTGCATTAAGGTTAGTGAGAGATAAATGAATTATTTGCAGAGATAAGTACAAGTGTGATGTGGTCATTTTGGGCTGGTGAAATATTCTTGCGTGTGAGCAGCGGTCAATCCCATCCTCTTTCTCAAATCCAATTGGCACGACACTGGAGAGCCTAGTAGTTCTTTTTAACTTGGGTAAGAGCAAGAGGTAGGGCCAATACACACCTAGAAGCAAATGTGTCTCTCCCTGCTCCCCATTGAAATGAAAGGAGAGTTTAGAGCACTTAAGAAACACTTAAGAACTATATAATAATTGAAAACAGGGCCTCTAGTCGCCATCTACACCTGTGGTGAAGATGCTATCTGTATCTACTACCTCTATAACAGACAGTAGTTTACTCTGTATAGGGATGGCTCAATATCATAAACAACTAAGTTGTTCATAATACATTTGTATGGGTGCACTTCGGTTGACCTTGCCATATAAAAAACAATCCAAACCATCTTTACTCCACTGAATGAAGAGGTACATTGCCCACAATATTACTCAGTTATTCTCAGCTCAATTCCGCTGCTTCTTTTTATTTGGATTTTTTCACACACAGAACTTTTAGCAGCATTTTTGATTGGTCAGCAGCATTCAAATAAATTGCATAAATGCATACATTTCAGTCAGCTGTTATGCTTTTTTCTTCCTTGTGGTTAAAATAACTCCACACAGCTGACATGATGACAGGACTGCTGACAGGTCTCACTCAGATTCTAGCTACTGTCCACGGGGCACATGCTGCTCATCTGTGTCTTCTCGCTTTACGGAATGTCACTCAAAGGTCAAAGTGAGCATTAGCTGAGATTTTGAACACTTACGATCGCTGACAGGTGTAGAGTCGCACTGTTGAGTTCGGTTTTGGCACTGTGGCATTGTTTGCAGAAACTCATCTACGTGCCATAGACACAACCTTTATTGTTCCATTATGGGAATTGTGTAGCTTGGGCTTTATGAAGACGTTGGCATTGCTGTTTGAGTTGGTTGAGGGACTTTGAGGCTCTGTGTTATGCACTGAATTCTTTCAGCTAAAGTAAGCTCACCTTTTTTTTTGTCTCAGAAGATTTTGCCTTTTTCAGTTTTTTCAGTATTTGTCTTTTAAGTTTGCCCAACAGCAAAACTGCTTTATATTTACAGCATGCTTCTGGCATCTACTATAATCAGTTTGTTTCTCCTCTCCTGCCACTTTACCTCTGTCCCTCTTCCTGCCTCGTCCTTCCCTCATATCACTCTACTGTTATTTAATGAGGCACAGCCTATGCTTTGCAAATCGGCACTGTGTGGGTTTTTGTTTGATCAATGATTGACATCTCAGAGTACATAGACCTCAACTGATTTCTCCAACCTGCTGTGTCACTGCTGCTGGCTCGTTGCCAGTTGGTGGTAGGGCCACTTTAGTTTGTATTCATTTGCTTAAGGCGTGCATTCATCACACAGTCAGCATTACACAATCACGTACATACTGCAGTAAATGCAGAGCACAGATTTGAATAGAGGGATAATGAATGACTTCCACTAATAGAAAAAATCTGATTTAACCATTTCTCAACTCAGCATCAAATTTCAGTGAGATTTCAACGGCCATTTTCACCGCATTCGCCATAAATCTAGAATATAAATAAACCTTTGTCCAGCATAATGCAACTGGAATAAATTATTTATAACTTATAGGTCAATTTGAAAATGTATATACCAGTATGTCTTTTATCACAGGGTCCTTTGTGAGTTTTGCTAGCACCCTAGTTTCTCCTTCAATAAAAGGAATAGAAGGGTGAGTTGAGGAAGCAATCCTCAAATACACTGCTAGATACTATTAAATCCCACTCTGGTACGTTAAAGGAAAATTAATTTGTAATTGCTTCATGAGACACACCTCATAAAACCACAGGAGGAACATTTGTTATGTGTGGTTGCCAATTTTCCCATTCATGATGATATGAGCTATGTGACTTATTTGTAGTCCAAAAATCCATAGATGTTCAGTTTATATTCAGTTTTGCTAAAATGATTTGAATTGTTGCACACTATAACAGTTTTTTCTTTGTTGTTGACCTTGAAAATAATACAGTCTTAAGAAATTGATGGACTGTACGTTTAATGTTATGTGTGTATCAAGTACATGCATGTGTATATATATATATATATATATATACCTGTGTCTGTTTGTCTGTATGGGTATTCTTACTTACAGTATGCTTCTGTATGTGCTCTTACATACTGTATCTGCCTGCCTACCAATCTGTGCCTATTCGCTAGTCACTAATGTGTGTTTCTGTCTGTCCATTTCCTTTCCCAGCCATTCGTTTTGGCCGGATGCCACAGGCGGAGAAGGAGAAACTGCTGGCTGAGTTCTCGTCTGACATGGAGCACATGCACCCGGAGGCAGCAGATCTGAGGGCTCTGTCCCGGCATCTGTACGAGGCCTATCTGAAATACTTCCCCCTCACCAAGGCCAAGGCCAGGGCCATCCTCTCTGGGAAGACCGGAGATAATGCGGTAATTCTACTTTACTTTTATATATTTGTATATATAATGGGGGAGAGTGATACATATTGTCTACATACGCCAAAAACATATTATTGAATTTTCTGCAAGGTATGAGCAGCTTGAGTTTGTGGTGAAGGCCATGGCAACAATGTCCTTTTTTTTACAGATTACATTTACATATAAAATGTATCTGTTATAGATTATATTCACAGGATACTGGATGTACAGTATGTCCAGAATATTTGAGACCGATCTGAGCTGCTGGACCAGTTGCTCCGTCCCTGTCCACCTTTTCTCCCTAATTGAGATACATATTGCAGATCTGACCTATATTTTTTATGTTTTTTATGAATCCCACTCTGAGTAATAGCACAAGTAACCCAAATAGCACATATTGTACATTTATACTTAAGCATAACCAATAATGATGATACAAAGCAGAGCTGAGGCATTTTCTAAAAATAACATTTTCTACCAAACTCCAATATATGACATAAAAAAAGCCATTTTAACTATGAGAAGTCTCTGTATCTTCACTTACACATGCATTATATATAACAATTTTCTCCCCTGTGCAGCCTAGAGTTTTAAATAAAACAAGCAGTTGCTTAGGGAAAAACAATAGTAAACAAAAACACTGACGGAGTGTAGAAGCTTTGATCTTAAAGTATTTTAAACTTTTCAACTCACTTCATGCGTTAACATTTTTGCCAGCATTGTCTTCATGTTACTTCGCTCAGTTTAGTTCAGATGGGGCTTTTATTGCCGCTCTAACAGGAAAAGTGGATTGACTAGTTTCTACATGTCTTGGCTGTTATAAAACATATCAGATTACAGTGGTCAAACTGTGCAATAGGAGAACATGGTTGCTCAGCACTCTGATGTACAGTAATGGCTTCAAAATTCCTACTCAAAATGTCAAACTAATTTGGTAAGACATTTGGCAATTTATAGGAGTGGACTGTAGGAAAATGTGTTGGCCAAAATGTGAGATATCATCTATTTCTGTGTTTTTGTACTTAAGAGTTTGAGATATTGAATTTCAGTATTCAAAAGAGACTTAATCAGGAAATCCACATCAATTAAACTACAACTGGCAAACGAAAGAAAACTGTGGTATGCTATACTGTGTGTATATATGCATACATACATATATATATATAAAATAAATAAAGGCCGGGGGGCCGGACACTACCGGGGATTCTAGCCTGCGGCCCCCTCTCTCTCTCCCCACTTTCCTGTCTTTCTGCATGTGCTATCAAATATAGGCGATGAAGGGGCGCCCGGTTCAGTCGAGTAGAGCCGGTAACCCATGTACAGAGTTGCTGCAGCGGCCCAGTGTTTGAATCCAACCTGCGGCCCTTTGCTGCGTATCATCCCCTCTCTTTACCCACCTTTCCTGTCTATCTTCAGCTGTCTCTATCAAATAAAGGCAGTAAAAGGCCAAAAAAATTTTTTCTTTTAAAAAAAAGAAAAAAATATATATATATATTTATATATATATATATATATATATATATATATATATATATATATATATGCAATGAAATCCACAAGAAAATGGCCTGAACAACTGAACCTGTCACTGAATGTCGGTGAATTACTGCAAATGGCCAAAATCAAACCGAAGCACATGGATCAAGCGCATAATTAAATCATAGTGTTGTTTTGAATATTGTACAGTAAATAATGGAATAATACCAGTTACAGTTCTTGCCTTCAATAGTAATTATAATTATTATTATTGTTTAATTACATTGTAACTGAGGATTTACTGTACGAGCAGAGCCTTTTCTATTACTCCTCTCTCTGTAAAGTCAGATGAGTTCAAGGCTGCTCCACATCTCTTTCGTCTGATTGTTATGACTGTGTTCATCACAGTGATAGTGGCCACATGGCACTGAATCATTGAGAGTCTTGGGTTATTTACTAAACCACAGCAAACCTTCTGAAACAAACAGGGAGACAATGAGTTTATCTTTTGTACAATGTTTACATTTTTTTACATGCAAGACCTTGATATGAATGCACTTAACTTCCTTACAAACCTTTATATAATGTAGAATTATAGTTCCTGCACAGACAGTTCGTATACAAAAAAACACAATTCCACCATCCATAGCCTTTAATTCGCTCACATAAGAAATTCTTTTTCATTTTATGACATTTGATTTGATAAATGCTTGCTGTTATTATTCATTTTACACTGTAAAAAAGGAAGATTTAAGTTTGTGAATGGTACCATTCATCATTCAGGCCGGTGCATGTCTATGCAAGTGTTTTAACAGTAAGGGCGACTTTAACTCAGTTAAGCTTCATTTACCTGGAAATGGTGTTTTTGTCTGCCTCAGCCTGCAGCTAAGGTTTATTTACTTGGCAAATCAGACTTATGAGAGTTATGGTGTTTGCTTTTGCAGGTCGGATGAATGAGCAAAGTGCATACACAGTATATGTGATTATATCTGTAGCTCTCATGTCCTCAGAAGGCCTGTGTGGAGCTGACGTCTCTTTCTTATTTTTCTTTCTTTTGCTTTTTCTCCTACTCCTACAAATCTCTCTTCTTCCATATTCTTTCTTCTCTACCTGCAGCCATTTGTCATCCATGACATGAAGTCTCTAATGGAAGGAGAGCAGTTTATTAATTGTAAGCAGATACCCACCCAGGAGCACCAGCCGCAGACGTCTGCCCTATCAGTCGGACATGGAGGTAAGAAGCACAAAATACTGTTTGTCATGATGTTTAATTTTTTTATTTGTCATTTCATTTGTCAACCAACTGATATAACGGCATTGTGTTTCAAACACAATGTTGTTATATCAGTCACCAATAAAGAAACACATTTTTATTCTCCTTTTAAAATTAGGCACTTGCATGTCATGCTTGTTGTCATGTCATAATGTTATCTTCCTTCCTTACCTTACTTGAACTGCCTCACCACGTATGTTTTTTCTATACACATCCCATCTGATTTCAGGTCTCATGGGAGCTCACCTGGGGTCAGAGTGTAACATTTTGGACGCTGTGGAGCTGCGTTTCTTCCATAGTTGTCAATCACGTTCAGCTGAAGCAGTGAGAGAAGTGACAGAGTTCGCCAAGAGTATACCAGGATTCATAAACCTGGATCTAAATGATCAGGTGAGAGGCACGAATACTGCTGCTCGTCCATTCTGACACTCAAATCTCGATGCACCATCAGTCACTCCAGTTTCGTCATCAATGATTTTGTTGGTCACCACGTATAGAGGTTAACAATTACTAACTATCTATCAAAGATCTAATTAACATCAGCTCTTCACTCCAACCCTTTACCCTTTTCCCAGGTAACTTTGCTGAAGTATGGTGTGATCGAGGTCTTAATCATCATGATGGCGCCTCTGATGAACAAAGACGGGACCCTCATTGCCTACGGACAGATCTTCATGACGCGGGAGTTCCTCAAGAGTCTCAGGAAACCCTTTTGTCAAATGATGGAACCAAAGTTTGAGTTCTCAGTCAAGTTCAACACGCTGGAACTGGACGACAGCGACATGGCGCTGTTTCTGGCTGTCATTATCCTCAGCGGGGGTGAGTGTGTTTTTGTTGTAGATGTCATTGATTATTGTAGCCAAGGAGGAGTAGTCTTAAAGGGATCATCTGATACCACTCTCCTGCACTCTCAAGGCACAGGGGGAAACATCTAGCCTGGTTCGGTCCAAGAAATAGTCTGACACAAAACCCCCAATAAAACACATCAGTTTCTGTATGGATTAAACAAACAAGATATATGTTTTGAGCTTTAGAGTTAAGCTGGCCATCTTTTGGCTCCAGCTTTAAATTGAACGGACAAATGTGAGCGTGGTATCAATCTTCTCCTTTTGACAAGAAAGCAAATAAACATATTTTAAAAAATTAATAACAATTTATTTTAAAAAATCTTTAAAGCTTTTAATGATATATATGTATAATATATTTAAACCAGTTACTGTAAACAATCAAGGTTTCTAAATTTTTAATTTAATGATCTTGAATTTCTTTTGGCAGACACTATTTCTTTTACTGTGAATATAAAGTGTTGTGAAGTGGCTTATCAATCCACTGCATTATACACACTATGTATAACATGCCTTGACCCATTTATCAGTTTGCCGTGAGACACAAGATATTACTGCTGACTGGGTTTTTTTTTCTCACGCACTCCCATATTAAAACCCAAATTGTGTGGTCTAATATTGCTGGTTTGCATGTAGCTACTTGATAAAAGTCTAGCCTTGACCTGATGAGTATTCAAATCAGGCATTTTAAGTCAATAATTAACTTGAATGACTAAGATTATAGCTTGAAATGAAGATAAGAAGGCTTTCGTAAATTGCAATAATATATCTAGGTCTGGTAATAAAGGCCAGCTAAATTAAGGGATTTTTTTGCCAATAGATATGAAATGCCATTGAAGTTAATATTAAATAAATAAACACATAAATTAACACGGCTATGAAATAATTCCTGAACAATATAAATGAGTCATAAATATAGTTATTATTAATGGGTTTATGTTTAAAAAAGGACGTTTTTAATAGACTAATCTTATATATCAGGGCACTTTCATTCCCTTTTGCCATATTTATTTCCCAGCTCCATTTATTTCCATCTTTTATATTCAAATGAATTGGGCATGGTTATCTCATAGATTCAGAGATCTGAGACCGATGGAGGCCAGTTTGACGACAGGAAATACATTACCAAGGTGGTATTCATGCCGAGTGTAGCTCCTGGCACTCCTAGCATTGAGTTTCCTGATGGACTGATAGCTTTACTTGTTGGTAAAGTAACCGCTTACTGTAGCCCAGTTAGACATGTTACTGATTCCGGTTCTTCAATCCAATTTTCACTTCCCTCTTTCTGTATATTTTTCCTCTCTTGGGGACCAATACATCTCTCCATGGACACCATTACCAGAAATTTCACTGATTTATCTTCCTTGTTTCTGTCACACATCCAGACCGTCCAGGCCTGCTGAACGTGAAGCCCATTGAACAGCTTCAGGAGACGGTTCTTCATGCGCTGGAGCTGCAGCTGAAACTAAACCACCCAGACTCTCTGCAACTGTTTGCCAAGCTGCTTCAGAAAATGACCGACCTGCGTCAGATCGTCACCGACCACGTCCACCTCATCCAGCTGCTGAAGAAGACGGAGGTGGATATGTGCTTACACCCACTGCTGCAGGAGATCATGAAGGACTTGTATTAGAATTTAACAGGAGAAAAGGACAAGTAAAGAAAAGTTGAAAGAGAGAATAAAGAGATTTTATTTTTGAAATCATGACTTTGGAAATTAAACAAGAAAGCACTTTGTGCTGCGGTTGTGTTGAAAAAAAAGGGAGGTAGCCAGACAGGCTGACTGAAAATGAGAAAGAGATGGGGAGGAACAGGAAAAAGAGAAATCAAGGAAAGAAAGACAGAATGTGAGTGTTAGATCTTGTCTAGACAGCAGCATGTGAATAACTTGTGGTGCACAGTCATTTAGCCACTGCTGAGGCTGGCCATTTTGTGAATGAGTAGGCTGCCCACTTAATATGAAACTACCACCTATTGCACCAATCAGCACGAGTGTCTATGACTAACTGAAAGAGAGGGGACTTTCTTATTGGCAAGATGAAGCTTAAAATTGTGAGCGCTCAACACAGTGAGCTTCATGTGCCATGAGGAGAAATATATCACTGTGAATATTTTACGCCATGTGTCACACAGTACAGTATGTGTTGTTCATGTGCAGCTTATCTACACGTTGCGTTACAACCGTCATAGGCAGCAGCATATCTTTGTGAACACGCACAAATGCATGAATACACACACACACACACACACACACACACACACACACACACACACACACACACCACACACACACACACACACACACACACACACACACACACACACACACACACACACACAACAATGAACATTTTCTGTTTTGGCATCAGGGTGAAGGTGCTATCTCTTTTTAATCAGCTTTAGCCAAAGTCAGAAATCAGATTATTGCCTGTAACATATTTTAGTGTCAGTCATCTGCAGAAACTGTGAGAAAGTGTGAAGCCAGCAAAAGGCACATTACCATGAAGATGTCAGCTCTTTGTTGAAAATGAAACAGTATATGCCTTATTGTGCCTTTAAGAGCTGATGTTTTTTTTGTTTTTTTTTTGTGGAATTAATGCCATTTAAAAAACCTTACATATATTACACATGTATAATATATATTCATATATATTATTTTTATATGGATATATGGCTTCTCAGCCTTAGTTTTATTTCAAATTCTTAAAAAGTAGCTGCATTCTACTATGAAATTATTTTGTATATACGCAAAGTGTGATCTGTTTGATCAATCAGATGGGGGTTTTGGGAGGGCACGGGGGCATCTGCTGTCAAATGGATTTGTATTAATTGTGTGTGTGGCGGGGGGGTCTGTTGTAAATAAAATATTTTCTAACTTTTTATTTGATTTCTTTCTCTCGTCTGTCTCAAGCTTTCACATGTACAGTCAAAATCTATTTCCAAATATCTTTCTTGAAAGTGTTCCAGTCACTCAAGCTCTCGGAAATCTGTTTTGCAGTCATTACATCAGCTGTCCTCAGTGCCTCTTACCAAACACACACACACACACACACACACACACACACACACACACACACACACACACACACCACACCCTGCTGGAACGATTGCAACATCTGAACTCTGCTGAACCAAGCCAGAAGACCAATGTCTGTGGCTACAGATTTGATTAGCAAGCGGAGAGGTGTTATTTTTTTGTTTTTTGTTTTATGTTTCTGGACATGCTTTTTTAAGGAAGCACTACCTTTTTTAAAACAAATCGATTTACAGAGAAACCTGAAAATAGGTAAGAGAGGGGAGAGCGTGCAACAACAAGGTCAGAGTCAGGACATCATAGCATCAGGTCACCTCAGTGCGGTTAGAGCTTTCATATTGTCTGGCTTTTTGCCAAGTTATAATCTTTCAGTACACAAATGCATTTTCCCCCTCACTCACAGTAGATGCTGCCCTCCTTCGGAAGTATTTAAGCTCAGTAAATTCCACCATTGGGATCAAACTCTTTTCAAATTTTAGGACCAGTGGACATAAGATATAGTGAGCAGAAGTGACCTATGAGGCATATTAAAATACCAAACTAATGTGTACTTACCAATTACTCACTAATTGCGTATGATAAACGTAATGTATTTTATCTTAGGTACATTTTGTGACTGTGAGGTATGCAATGTGAAATACACCTTTCAGTTTTTGCCCATGAGAGGATTTTTCTTCTGCTGATACTGCTCGAATTGTTTTGGGGCGTTTTTTGTTAGATTGGGGTGTTCTGATAATGTATGAATCATTAAAGACATTATCAGCTATCTGTAGAACAATTATTAGGTGAAAACAAGCCACATATATGTTTAAAAAGTTATATTAGAACTTAAAGATGGTACCTTGTTTATAATAATACTCTTTATATAATAATATTTTTTTTTTCAAATATACAGTATATCATAGACCTTGGTCTGACTTTGTGGTTTCTCATTCTCTATGGAAGCTCAGGAAACAGCTGCTTTGGGTTGTGAAACAGAGATAAGCTTTTGCATAAGAAACACAATTCTTTGTTTAAGAAATATATAATTCTACTATAAAGACCAAGAATGTTTTCAGTGTTGGCTCTAAACTGGTAATATATAATATATATATAAACCTACAATAACTCAGCTGAAACAAGCTGTGAACAAACAGGGAACACTGACATCACCTCTTCAGCTGATACGGTGAAGTTGCCAGCAGACAGCCTGTTTACACATCGAAAAAGACGTAGGAGCATCATTCATTTGGAGTCATGTTTCTGGCCACCAAGTCCAGGTTTCACTCTCTTTTTGCTCTGTTTTTGGTCTCCACCAACTCTTGGGGGACATATCTGCCTCTAGGTTCACCAGCTAGTCACTAACGATGTATGCTTTCCATTCGGTGCTCAGCAGAAAATAACTTCCTGCTTATAGCCGAAAACGATGCTACAAGAGTGATGACAGTGAACTGCAAGTAAAGTTGCGAAAAACAAAAACAAAGAACTGAAAGACACCAAAAACCTCAGGAGAACTGAAGAGTCAGGTGCTCACTCTTTGTGGGGTTAATAGAAGAAAAGCGTGTGCTCTATGTGGCTCTGCTTCCTGAAAGGATGTTCCTACGACACATTATACACTTCTGCTCCTTGTTTGATTAATCACATGTCAAATGATATTACAACATGTAAGAATAAAAAATATTTAGAAATGGGAGGGTAAAAGGACTGTTTCAGGGCAATCTGATCAGGAATGAGAAGAATCTGCGGCACCCTGGTAGCTTACCTGGTAGAGCTGGCGCCACCATGTACCAAGGCTGCGTCTTTGCTGCAGCGGCTATGGGTAGAATCAGACCTGTGGCCCTTTGCTGCATGTCATCCCTTCTCTCTCTTTCTCTCTCTCTCTCTCTCCCGCTTTCCTGTCCAATAAAGACAAAAAGCCCTCAAAAAATATAAAGGAAAGACCGGAATATGTGTGAGCTGTAAAAAGGAGAGAGGACGAGACAAGAAGAGAGGCCGTGAGAACCCAGCGGAGAAAAGGAGAATCTTGGCCCCTAAAAATAAGCGTTTGAATTGGCAGACGGTGGTGGGGGGTTTCTGGCTCTGACCCGGATGGTCCTCTTGGATGGTTGATGATGATGGTAATTAAATGTGTTCTTTATGTCGAGTCAGCATATCCTCACTTTGTTACGGCCGGTCTCTGCTGACCAAAGCCTGCCAAGATTCTTAAGCTAATCTGCCAAATAATTTTCAGAAAGTATATTTCTGCTGTTGTCCGTCCTCGCAGAGCCAAGTCCAAAGATAGCGGTGGTGATTTACACAAGGAAGTTTTGTTTTTGTTTGATTTCCTTAAGAAACAGCAGCTTTGCTTTTTACTCTCTTTTGTTTTAGTATCCAAAAGGAATTTTCACTCCCACCACGGAGTGATACCTGATATGTGTGCGTCCTTGTACAAGCCTTGTTTCTGAAGTGATACACCTGCCACTGTAAGACGAATATAGCGCTTGAAAAATGTGTTTGTTTAATCTGGTGTTTAGAGAGAAAACGCCTCAGGAATTTGTAGTAAGGCACTTGATGTTCTTGTGAGCTCCACAGCAAAACATTTTAGACTTTGATTAGAAGAAATAATGTTGATACTCCAGTCATAAAAAAATATTTTCTTTTCTTTTTACATATTTTTATTGCTGTGTATTTTTGGAACATACAGAACAACTGCACAACAATACAAAAAACATACACAAACAAGTTTATAACAGCTTCCTTATTCTTAACATAAAATAATTCTTGGAATTATATGATACAAATATGAGGCATCCTGGTGTAATTAAGCTGCATAGCCTACCATATGACTACAAACTCCCTGGTTTACTATTCAATAAAGAAAAAATGACTTAAGTTAGTGTAACCTGATGCTCCAGATTTTCACTTTCATTAATTTCACTAAAAACTGATTTGGTAAATTGTGGATTATTCAGGGATATAAGAAGGTGAACGTGTCTTTAGGCGTTAATATTTGTTCCTATTTTTTTTCTTTTTCTCTCTCTCTCTAATCCTACAACAATAATGAAGTCTACAGTATGGATCATGGTATATTCACGTAGATCTTCACATTTTATAAATTTATTGAATAGACTCAAAACACCTAAAGATTTTAAATGGACTTTGCTTAATTGAGATTATTTGACAGTGCCAATTCACTTTTTTTTGTGTGTGTAATTCAATATTGCCCAATATGTAAACAACCAGTATTCTTGATATAAAAGTAGGCATACAAACAGCATTCTGTTCTGTTATGTTGAGAAATGCTCTCGTGACTTCGAACGTCACCCTGTTTTTTTTCCCGCCCACCAGCATTTTTTTTATCATTGTATGACTTTGGCTTTAACTGGCAGGGCTTGCAACACATGTCATTACCTTTGTCAGGTGGATTTTTTCCTAGTGATTCAGTCGTTCCATTGCCCTTTTAATACCATTAAGTGAAACTTGTGAGGAAAGTTAATATGATATCATCTCTATCATATGATGCAAGTGAGGGCAAAGCTGGTGAAACAGGTGAAACAGTTAAACGGTCTCTCAGTATCACGTCATATTACAAATTACATATTCAATATGAGGAAATACATATATTCAACATAATATATTCAACATTTCTAAATTCTAACATGAAAGATGCTTTTTTTTTATGAAATCAAAAAGAAGCAATTGACTTACCGGAAAAATTTAAAAAAGCTCAAAGATTAGTTCCAAAACACACACAAACCGAATAATAAAGATACAAATACATTAAAAAAAATAGCTCAGAAACAGTTGTTATAAAATCTTTCAGTGAGAACACATCTGTAAAACCACCATCTTTCATTTTAGAGGACAAGTTCAACATTTTGGGTTGTTTGCGTTCTTTCTGAGAGTTTGATGAGTGTCATGTCTATACATTAAGCTAGAATCATGTGGTGGTTAGCTTAGCTTTGCATAAGCACTGGCAATCGGGGGAAACAGCCAACCTGGCTGTGTCAGAAGGTAAAGGAAATCCACATGCACTGTAGTTTTTATACAAATTAAACAAATAGGCTAGATGAGATGTTAATTACTAAGCTTTAGAGGTTGCAGATGTTTTACCTTTGGACAGAACCAGACTAGTTGTTTCCCATTTGTTCCAGTCTTTATGCTACACTATGCTTACAACCTACAGGCTCCAGACCCATATTTAAAGGACAGATACGTATGAGATCAATCTTCTTTTCCAGAATGTTCAACTATTCCTTTAAACCTGTTTTTGCACATTGAATTGAATGTGGGCAATGTGCAGTTTGTTTACCAATGCTGCCTGCGCAACATTGTCACTATCTCTATGCATCAAAGTGTGCTCTAACTGCCTGTTTCTGTGCTCAGACTCACGCCTTTCTGTTTCACTGTGGGGGAGTCTTTCAAGGTTGGCTTTTTAAAGAGGCGTGCCAGAGTTTCAATGGGGAGGATGACAGCGGGCCAGTGACAAGGCAAAAAAAACCCACTGGCACTTGAGCCTCGATCTGTGTCCCCAAAACGCCAACAGACAGGTCAGGCATGAAGGCTTGAGGCCACAGCTATCAGTCCAGTTGTTAAGGATTCATCAAGTGAGATTCCGATTTTGATGCATAATAAGGGTTAAAATGTGTATCACCCTGATGGAGGTTTGTCTGTTCACTGTTTCCAAATGGCAATTCTACAAACAGATGCACTCAGTTGAAGACTATTAAGCAGATTAGATCATAATGGACTTTATTTGGGATGCAGTAAGAACATCAATTCTGCACCAGAGTGATCACTAATAGAAATATAGTTTGATTAAGAGCCCTGGTGTTGTATAAAGCAGTGTAATATCTCCCTCTGCAGGCTGGAAACAGCTACCAAACCTCACAGCAGGGACATTTTCCTCTGCCACAGCCAAACCAAATGCTGTGGTGACCTGACCACACATCCTCTCAACAGTTGCTGATTCAAAGGGGGAAAAAAATTAACTGATATTTACACAGTAGATCAGCCATGAAGTGCGAGGATGGCTCAAGAGTGAGTTGATCATTTGAGGGCAGAGGTCAGGACAGAGTGAATATCTACACATCTATCTAATTATTACAGATTGTCCACAAACATACGTTGATTTGGAGGAGTTGCTGCACCTCAGTGGCTGTTGTATTGTTTCAGCTGGTTGAGCTGAAGAGGGAGAGGAACAATGGAGGCCAATAACAATAATGTAGCTGTCAGGGCTGTGAGGGAGGCAAGGTCAGTGAGGTGATACAGTAAACAGGCCAGCCCAATTCCTTCCCATGGCCTCCTGGCTTAACTGAACGAAGAATAAGTAAAGCTGGATTTCACAAAGTCAAACCGTAATAATGAGTTGCTAATATTGTTAGAAAATGTTGATTAGCTTGGATTGGATTGACACAGGACCAAATAAAAATTAAAGCACCTTTAAAATATTAGATTCTTTTTAATGCTGTTTTTTTTAAAGCTTTTTAGTTATAGACAAATTTTATAGACAAACACACAGAAAACAAAAATCTTTAATCAGATACCAAAACGATCGCAAAGCCAAACATACCAAGATTTTATTTGATTTTTTAAGAGAAAGAAAGTATAGAGAAAGGGTCGCGGCCATCATTTGAAACACTGTGCTTGTGAATAGTATAGTTTTCTGCATGTGAATAAATGTATGTAATAATATTTGGAAACAAGATACATTTCTTTTCACTCTTTAAGAATCAGCACTTTGGTTAATACCAAATCAATCAGTGGTCTTTGTATATGAGAAGGAAGTTTCTTCTTTGCACATTAAAGAAAAGATGAAACCATAATGAGTCTTAAAATTGAGTTGTTGTTGGGTTTTGTTTTTGTTTTTATTACAATAGCATTGAAGCCTAGGAGGAGAAAGTTTGTGTTGTTTCCTTTTTTCCAGTCTTTATGCTATGCTATGCTACGCTATGCCAGCTGTCTACAGGCTCCATGTGTTAAAGAAGCTTCAAATAATACAGAAATAATAAAGTTTACATTAGAGAATACAAAATGATTCTTAAAATTTACTTTCTTTTGTTTCTGTTTTTTTTTTTTTTTTAACCATAGCAGTGAAGCCCAGAAGGAGAAAGTTTGTGTCAGGTGACCTTTGAGTATTCTGGAAGTATCTGAGCAAATGTGGACTTTTATGGTGATTTTCTCTCACCATATTACAAAAAAATGTGTGCATGTCATTGATTTTGTGTTAAACCTTTTGGCTGATACAGGGAGAAAAAAACAAGTCTCGTTTTTTAAGCAGTTCAGTTCAGCTCTGTGGTTTTCAATCTCTGGAGTTCATTCAACAAAACAAACAAAAAAACAAACAAAAAAAAAAAAGAATTCAGCTTTTAATTAAGCACATCAGGTTTAATTCTATGTGTGGTATTCATAATGAGGTGCTGAAAGCAGCAGTTATCCATCATGCCTTTCACTCACACCTGCCTCAGGGGGACAATCAACTGATCAGAAGTAATGTCTCCCACTGGACTGTCAGTGTTTATGTGTTTGATTCCAGAGATACACGCTGTAGGAGTAAGCTCACAGCTCTGTTGGGTTGTTTGTTAGTCTACTTTTCTGTGAACATAAGATCACCAGTATTCTCTAGCCGTGTGTGGTCCTGACCGACTGTATGGAAAAAGTGAGTCACATTACATCACATAGCTACTGTATTCTGAATGTCTAAACATGATCAAATATTTTTAGAGGAATATAGAGGAACAGCTAATAGAATGGGAATGGGGTTTAATCAAACATAAGCGATTTATAATTTAAAACAAGAGTCTCTTTTCACTGGAGCCCAGATGTTAATAATAAAAGTAATGATGGCTGAGTTCAGCTGGCTCGCTGTTGCTGCTTATACTGGGACACTTGTGTAACTAGAACGGAGCCATCGTTAATGTTATTAGTCACACCTATGCTTTTTCCTACTATGACATGTCAGAGTGTCTGCTGTGGTAAAAGCCGTCTCACACCATCGTGTGCGTGGCACCACATTTGAAGTGATTTCTTTTTATCATTATGTTTCTGGTTCCTGTTCTTTGAGTGAATAAACTGGAATCGATGTGTCAACAGCCTAATTTACAAGACACAGTTAAGGTATTCTGGATGCACGCTTTTTTTTTCTTTCACCTTAACGGTTTCAGATTTAGTCAGAGTCACTGTGAAGTGCTGGCCTCTGTATCCACATCTTGATGACACAGAGTGACACAAATCTGAATCTGAATCAGATTTGTATACAGATGTGTACACAGAGAGGGAATATGACTCTGGTTTGAAGTTGCTCTCTTACACACAGAACAATTTACAGGAAGACAGACATAGAAACATAGAACTATTATGTACATACAAGTAGATGAAAAAATAGGTGTGTATATATATATATATATATATATATATATATATAAAAATCAGCAATGACACACAATATACTGTTTCTATATAAGACATATATGTATATATTCTGTAAATTCCAAACACTAATTGAACATTACTTTTTATTGCATTGTTATATCCTGTCTGGGTCTGGTGTCCTTCTGATTGTGTAATGTATTGTGCTGTGTGTGTTGTCTCTTCTATTTGTATTTTATCTATTTATTTATTAGGGACTATGGATGCAAATTAGCAGCTTTGCTATAATCCGGCATGTTTACAAAGATGTTTAAATATCAATGTTCATTACTGTGCACTGTCCCTATCCAAAAATAAAGCATTTATTATTATTATTACTTACATAACTTTTAAGACATTATGTACAGTACAATACAATATATATAACAGCAGGATTTATATTAATATATTATCTATGTTAAAGCACAGTGTATATTTAATCTGTAAACATATAATTCATAATTTGTAATAAATGTACATTAATTTCACTCTACTGTCTAATAGTGTGGTTTGTACCTCTGATACAAACAGTAGGGGGCGGCAATGCAACACAAACTGTGTGCAATCCGAAGAAGAAGAAGAAAACCCGGAATTATTTTGGTTTTTTGTCGCGGCGGGAAACTCACCTAGGAAGTAAACAAACTGAACGGTAAGTTTCTATGTGTAATCTAACTTTAAGAGCTGCTTTATGTAATCATAATATCAGATTATCAGGCAGCAGCTCCCTCCTAAAAATGTGCCATTAAACAGGCTTCCTTAAAGCTAATCGGCTTTAGCAGACTTAGCTACGTTTTCCCAGTTGTCCCTGAAGACAGTAACTAACTTAAAACCACTAAAGTCATTTTAAATCGGGTCATTGCACTTATCTGCCTCTCTGTCCCAATACGTTATGTGTTATTGATGTATACGTTACTACAGATCTACAGTGTTTACTTAGTACCGCTGCTGTTTACCTTTATACTGTTTATAAGCCGACAGGTCAGGAAACGTACAAACATAACATCATAAAATTCAGCATCACAGACCAAATAACCAAAATGAGCAGTTTAAGACAGTAAAGCCTGAACATTATAACCTTATTTAATGTAGGATTTATTGCACTGCTCTCGTATTAGACTGCTTTACTTAAACTGTCAACAAAGGCTGCAACCAGTGATGGTGGAAACTGAAGTAGTTCAAATGGTTTGTTTTGTTATTTGACCAAAAAGTCCAACCCTCCCTAAAATATTCAATATACTAAAATCTAAGACAAGGAAACAAATGTAAAGTTAGAAGTTAGAACTATCATATTTTTGGCATTTTCGCTTGAAAAATAACGTAATCAATTAGTTGTCATTTAATTTGCTATTGGTCGCCTAACAGAGCCTACAGAATAAAAAACTATTATGTATGCAAAGTTGTTTTTTCTGTCATTTGTGGGTGACTTACAGGTTCTGTTGGTACTCACATGGATGAGCTCATACAATGGTAACAGACCTTTAATAATAAACATGTATTAAGCATTGTCTCTCCCCCCCCCCCCAGGTGAGACATCTCGACCATGCCGTCCAAACAGCAGGATGTGGCCAAATCTAACATCTCCCCAGTTCTGTTCATGGCCGTAGACGGTGAACCCATGTCTTTCTTCTTGCGGCCGGGTCCTATTAAACTCCAGCTCCAGCCTCTGATCATAGCTGGAGGAGGGAAGATGTGCAACATCCAGCAGCCGGGGGCGATCCTGCTGATTGACCCAGACGAAAGAGGCTCCATTCCTGAAACTACTGCTCACTGGTAAGTGCTGAACTGGTCTGCCATCAGCAAGTGTTTATGTCCGGAGGAATACTGTTTTAAATAATCAGTTGATAACAAGAAAACTACACGCCTGTACCATGCAAGAAGTTTGTTCAGAGAGTATATCTGTCATATCTCACATCTTACACCAGGTAAGCTTAAGTCTGTCTCGTCACACTCTGGCAGAAGAAATGTAGGTATTGATGTTAACATATGGGAGATTTTGTAATTTACCTTAACCACAGTGTCATAACGTAAACAGTAGGTATTGTTTGTGCACGGCCAGTCTTCTAAGGCTCACTGAAAGTAATACTGCCATGTTTGTTTAAAGATCACAATCCTACAAATCAGGCAATTAAACAGCATTTTGCTCTATAAGGAGGTGCTTAATCAAGTGAAACATGGTTAATCTCACTTAGGCTGTATCATTGACTTGAGCAGAATACACACTTAAGCTTGTAAACTTTAATATTGTTACTAGAAACATGTTCTTTATATGAAAATGACTTACTCCATTAAGTTTAAGTACAGCAGAGTGTGCTGAAGCATTGTCATTTATGTCATCAGCTATCTGCTGTCTCCTTTGTCCTCAGGTACGTATCCACCAAGTACATTCACGACTGTATTGAGAAGGATGAACAGATGAGTTTAGAGGACTACAGGTTACATCCTGAAGTGGTCCCAAGACAGTCTGCTAGACTCACTGATAACAAAGAGCGCGCTCCTGAACTCTTAGGAGGTATGATGGAAAGACCTAACTTTGCTCTTTGTCATGCGCATTTTCAAAACTTCTCACATTCAGCTTATGCCTATGGTTCTTTATTAACATTTTAAAAGCAAATAAATAAACATCAGTTTGCTACTCTTGTTGCTACTGATGTGTATCTCCTTTCATTGTAATTAGGCAGGATTCCCTACACAACTGAAGATGATGCTGCCATTTGGAGTTATGTCAGCAAGCGCAAGACAGAAATTGGGGGAAACCGGCTCTGGCAAGAGATGGAGAGGCAGCGAGTGACCAGTCACAGCTGGCAGTCGATGAAATACCGTTACAGAGTACGACTGGCAAAGAAACAGTCAGAGGTTGTGGAGGTGGCAGCAGCAGAGAGAGAGATCAAGGTAATTTATCTGCAAGGTGTTGCCAGGTATTTTCTCTTTATCACACGTTTCTTTCAACATTTATAGGCACAGCTTTCAACACAGTACAACTGCTCAGTCTAACGTCCAATTTGGTACAGCATTCCTGCAATAAATCCAACATTTGTTGTTTATCATATTCAGACACAGTATCAAGAGAGGGGTTTATTTAACTGTGGTCATTTTGAGTAGTTTTGGTATATTGTACTGCAATGTACTGAAATGTGTTTTTAATGTATTTAAATGGGTGTGAACAAAATATAAGACATATCATATATCATTTATGGGCTCTTACCTTTTAACTAAACATTGCAAAAGCTTCTCCTCTTTGGTGCAATTGTGTAAAGAAGGAAACTGTCATAAAATAACAATAATGAAATTATGTTTTGTCCAAAGTTATGAGACTGTGAAATAGCTGCTGAATAATTAAAAATAACCAAAAGCCCTGGTGGATGAGGCAGAGGCTTGAGACAGAAGTGTATTTTATTTTACTGCCACTGGGCGGCGCCAGATTTCAAAAGACTTCAAAAGACTAAAGTTTTTCCTCTGTCTGCTCGTAGGTGGAAGAAAATCAAGAGACAGATGTTGAAAAACCCTCCAGGGCAGAAGATGCTGCTTCTCCTCAGACACATTCAACAGAATCAGACCAAACACAGGTACAGACCAGAACTCACTGCTTACAACGAACACAACAGTTAGAGTATGTACTGTATATACTTTATTATTATTATTATTATTTGCAGACATAATGTATGCAATTTAATGATTTGTTTCAATAAACAGAACAGGGTTGGTGTCTCCACAGATAGATGACCAGTTTATACCGGCTGAAAGCACACAACCAGAAACTGTAGAAGCTCAAACATCTGTCTCTACGGAAGGAGAAGTCCAACACGTGAACCCACAGACAGATAAACAACCAGCTGGAAGCACACAAGTAGAGACCGAAGTATCTAACTCCCCCCAACCTGAGGGACCTTGTTTGGACACACAGACAGATGCTCCCCCCCTTCCAGCTGAGAGCACAGAACCAGGAACAGATGAAACACAAACAAAAGTCTCTCCTCAAAAAGATAGCGTGCCAGTGGACTCGCCGCCAGCTCAGCCCAAGTCTCTGCCCAGCACCTCTTCTCAGAAGAAGCCAAAAGAGAAACAGAAGTCCTCCCCCAGGCTGGAACAACCGCTGCGCCGATTAACACGCAGGCAGCTTCAGCTCGACGAGTCTCCTGAGCCATACGGCAAAAAACTCAGATCGTCATCAAGTTCTGCTGAGCAACCGTCGTCATCTCCCCAGCCCTTGAGGAAAACGAAAGCAGCTGTTAAATCCGCTCTTCAAAAAGACACGACAGTCGACCAGCCGCCTTCTAAGAGAGCCAGAGAAAAGACTGTGTCAGAGACAGAGAGTCAACAGGAGGAGATTGGACAAGCTACGGTCCCTGAAACAGCACAAGCAGGTTCGTTATACACATCTACCAGTGTGGGACACAAAGTGCACAGAGAGAAGCTTAATATCTTTGCAAGCTTTTACACCACAGATATTTGAGTAAAGTGTTTTCTTTTGCAGATACAGAATCTGATGCAGTGCCACAGAAAGCGGAGAAGAAAAAAGAAAAGAGAAAGTTGGGGATTCTAGAGCTGGCTACAAAGGAGTTTGAAGATGAAAATGAGGTAAGACACAACGCTGATTTTGAAATAGCACATTTGTGTCAAGCAAGGCAATGTTACATTAAAATGCAAAGTGCAAACACCTGCCCACCCAACAACAGTGAAGTACCCACCTCCACCACACAGACTTACATGTACTGTTTTTTTTTATTTTTATATATATATATATATATATAAACACAGACAACAAACAACAAAACAACATGGCCACAAAAAACAAATCTCTGACTACTTGTTATGTGATACACACAGTACAATACACTCAGAGAAAATCGTCTCCCTACCTTAATAAACTGTGTGAGTATAACTGGGAAGAACTGGGATCTCAGTATATGTACATACACATATATACACATTTACACACATACATAAGGAAATGCTCAGACCCATTACAATTGACAGCTATGCAGAAAATACATCTGGAAAGAAAGAAGAGTAATAAAGAAAATAACAATGATATTAATTTGAGAAACCATGCTATGTTTTAAAAATAAAGAAAAAATTAAAAAATAATTATAAGTAAATTAATTTCCAGCCTTACGACCCGAAAACATCAGTTAGCCAGTTTTCCTCATTGCCATCTATCATCCCTTTTAATACAATAGCTGTAAGTCTTTTACCAGCATATTTAAAGAAAAGGGTCCAGAGTCTTAAAAAAAAATCATCCACCCTACATTTTAATCTGTATGTTAGATATTCCATTGGTAGTAAGTCAAATATCACTTTGTGCCAACCCCCAATTATAGGTGGTGCATTATCAATCCATCTGAGCTATATATTTTTCCGAGCAACAAATGTGAGAATACTGAGCAGTCTACTTTGATAAGACCTTTTTAATATGACGACTGGGCAAGTGAAGAAGCAGAACCTGAGGATCAGCATCCAGCTGGACATTATAAAAATCAAATTAAGTTTGCTTCCCACCTCTATTTGACATTTGGAACACTTTTCAGACAAACTTGAGTTCCCCCTGTGTCTGAGCTGTGGTGTGATCTGCAAGCGATGCAATATTCTAAACTGAGTCTCTCTGGTTCTGTTACATATGGAGATCTCACTAGCTAACCGTCATATATCCAGCCAAGTTGATTCATCTATTGTAAGATTGAAATCAGCATTCCATTCGCATCGAAGATACTCTTAAGTTCATATTGCTAGCAGAGTTGAGCTCAGCATGCCCCCGACAGAGAACTGCTTTCTTGCCTCTATCAAGAAGTAAACGTTCCATCTGTGAAGTCTGACAGTCAAAGTCATACCTGCTTTGATTCTGAATGAAGCTGCGAATTTGCAGATATCTGAAGAAGTGGTTTCTCGGGAGACCATATTTCTGTCGGATTTGTTCAAATGTAAGCATCACTCCTTTATCAAATAAATGTCCTAGAGTTAAAATCCCCCTCTCCTCCCACATCTTAAATCCCATGTCCGAGCGGGCCGGACATATACTGTTTTTAATGTGACAACAGTTCAGATTAACGCCACCTGATGACATGAGAGGTCTGACTAAAGTGTTCAGTGAGCAGGTCTGAAATATAGTGGGGAGCCAAACCATAAAGCACTTAGAATATAAGATATAATATAAGAATATAAAGCTCTGTGACTTGTTAGAAAATAAATAAATATGCTGGAGAATGTAAATGCTGATTGTGTAGAAGGATAGTATTATAAGTATTTAAAATATTTGCCCTCAGGAAACAGATACAGTGTTAATATGTTGGCTGATTTAGATAATCTCCCAAAAGGATCATCCATCATTCTACATGATTATAATATTATTTAATAAAATACAGTCTTCCAAAATAAAAAGTTTGATTCCTGGTGTTTCCTCACTAACTAACGTCTTACTTGTTAAATAGCTCATTTACAGCTTATTAAAGATTCAGCAAGTAACTTCAAAATACTCTGAAATGTGATTGAGCTGAATTAACCTGGAATGCATTATGTTTGCATTATGTTTTTTGAGTTTAATCAAGGTTAACACTGAGTGTTATGTTGGTATTGTGGGATTCAGCTCATTAATTTTCTCATTAAACCTATTCATTTGCTATTCGGACCTCAACTAAGGATTATTACTTTTATTAGTTTGGTCTATAAAACAATGAATCCTACATAAGGTTTAAGAGCTGGAACTGGGGACTGTTGTTATTTCTGCTTGAAAAAGGACTTAAGAATTAATTGATTGTCTTTAGGTTTCAGATTACTTGTCGATAAACAAATTAATTAGTCAACAATACTCACAAAAACCCTCAGCTCTAGTTACTATCATCTCTTGCTTAATCACTGATATAATAATCCGCTCAAATGAACACAAAGACTGTGATTATTTTCAGCTGTTCTTTAAATATTTAAACTTAAAATATTTCTGTCTCTCAGTCTGATGAGGATGAAACTCCTGACCTCCAAAACCCAAGTGAAACAGCAACGATGCAACCCACATCGACAAAACCCCCCGTCCCCTCTTCAGACCCGGCTGTGTCCACACAGTCCAACCCTGAACATGGACCCAGCCTCCAAGAGAATGTGCAGGAGAACCAGGCCTCCGGTAGCAAGTGCCTACCGGAGACAGGCTGCCCTGTACCTGCAGCCGCTGAGCCTGCAGTCGTTGTACCTGCAGTCGTTGTACCTGCGGCCACTGAGCCTGCGGCCACTGAGCCTGCGGCCACTGAGCCTGCGGCCACTGAGCGTGCGGCCACTGAGCGTGCGGCCACTGAGCGTGCGGCCACTGAGCCTGCAGCCAATGAGCCTGCAGCCAATGAGCCTGCAGCCAATGAGCCTGCAGCCACTGAGCCTGCAGCCAATGAGCCTGCAGCCGCTGAGCCTGCAGCCATCAAGCCATCGGCTGTCAAAGCAACCTCCAAAGCCCACCTATTCATATTTGACAATGAGTCTCAGGAGGAGGACTCTGAATCCGTTGTTGGTGACAATATAAGCAACCTACAGCCAAGAGTGAACAAAGACGCTGCTTTTTCACTGACTCAAGTCCAGTTGGAAGAGGACAAGCAGCTGATCAGGGAGCTGATGAAGCAAGCCAACCAGGTGAGTGCTGAGCGGTATATGCACCTTTTTATTGCAGTCTTATTTATCATAAAGAGCATCAAGATGGTTTATATGCTACAGTTATATGCTCTTTATTCTTAGTTATATGCTGTTTGGGAATATTATATAATGTCAAATAATTTCTGACCTGCCCTAACTATTTCTGTTATAGGACTTAGTCAGTGTGACCAAAGCGCTGTTGAAGACCAGCGGAGACTTCTCTGCAGCTCTGGATCTGCTTTTGGATCCCCTCTCCATTTCCGGACCGTTTTGGAAACGGTCTGATGACGCTCTTTTGCGCTCAGGCGATCCTGCGGTCCAACAGCAGCTGCAAGAGAAATTCAGTGAGGAGGAGGTGGCCAAAAGAATTGTGTTCCTCGAGATAGAGGGATGAAAATGACAGACAGATTAGTTACAGATAGAAAGGAGGTTTGGACATGTACACAAGTATACTCATCTAAAAATCAACTGGTGTGAAATTAGCGAGTTAGCTGATATTCATCTCAGTGTCTCTGTTGCGTCTCCTTCTTTGCCGCAACCCCCTGATTAACTTTGAAGAGATGAAATCAGAAACATTGGAGGATTAAAGCAGTTTAAGGGTTTTTTGAGTACAGTAAAAAGTAAAAGCTGTTGTTTGTGCCTTCCTCTATACCATTGTTTTCGGACAGAATCTTTTTATGTGTTTTAGCATGAAAATACTCTAATCACTTTGTGCTTTTTTATGTGCTTTATGTTTGTTTTAATGAAAGGAGGGAGTCCATTCTGGATCAAGATAGTTGATTGTTTAGTCTCATTCCCATGTGAGCAACCTGCAAGCATGAATGCAACCTGTTTTGTTTCCCATTTACCAGAAAAGCACCAAAGCATCTGTATTTGATGACCTGCAAATGAGGCTCAACAATCTGCCTCTTCTTCTCCAGAATGACTGACCCAATGTTTTAAATTGCATAGTAAATAGTTTAACATCATTTTAAAAGGTGCATTATGAAATAAATGTCCTCTTTATATGTATTTTCACCACTTACTTGAACAAATTGCATTTGAGTGGTTAAAAGGAAAATGACACTTCAGCCTTGTATGAAATCTGTAATAAGAAGAGCTCTTGTGGTGGCGGATTAATGAGCTGAATTAGTTCCTTTTAACCAAAAGGTGTTGCTGCTTTAAGTGTAGAATAATATGCCTCTTCTACTCTGAGATTTAGAAATATTACTGCAAAGTTCTTGTATTTTTCATATACTGACGCATTTTCTGCTTTTTCTACGCCAAAGTAAAAAGGTCAGATGTACGGTATGTGTGTGAACTGTTTCCACTGTATATTGGGTCCATTACGATCCATCAGTGCACATTCTGGACACAACTACTAATGCCAACAATTACCAGCATTAAAAGGGCATTAAATTATATTATATTAACACAAAAATCACTCTCTGAACACATGAAGCCTATTCTTTAAATTAGAATAGATTAATGAGTGGAAAGTATTAAAAAAAGAGGAAGCAAATTAGCCTGGATTTTTATGCAACCCACCATTTTATTTCATTTTACCCCCAATATCAATTGAGTACATTCATCATTTTTGAAATAGCCTGCCCCAAACCCACATGAATACATTGTACCAATAGTTTAAACAAAATAAACCCACAAATCTAGGAGAGATAAGCAATTAAATTAAAGCAGACGAATCAACCACTTAAAATGAAATCAACAGGATAATGCAAATGAAACACAAAAACTGTCCAATACAGTTCGGTAAATTTTACCCAAATAAGTATTGCTGCACCTTTTATCTCCCCGTCATGTTTATGAAATTAAACATAGGCAATAATTACATTGAACAGGTATGCCGATGAACATGTAAAACTGTATGTTGACACCACAGTTAACACAACCGTATAATCCCAGTGCTGCACTGATAAAAACCAATCGTATAAAACCCTTTTTAGTATGAAACATTCACATCCACCAGGATCTCATTTACATACACCTAGGTCACATACTGTAAGTTGGTCAGGTAAGAACACGTTTAATAAAGCAAAACATACCAAGGTCTCCAGTAAGTAACAGCACACCATATATCCCTGGATTTAAACAGCTACATTTTTATCTTTTTTTTGCTCAGCTTTTACTTGTAAGGACTTTAGAGGAAGCCTCCAATCAAGCTACATTCATTAAGGAGGGTTGCTACAGTTTTATCGACTGGATGTCGTTGGAATTTGACCTGCTTCAAGAGATGAAAAGGGAGATAACACACTTCATGTGTCATAGAATTGCTGATTTTGGGGGGAAAAAAATCAGGTAAATGTCTGCAAACTAACACATCCGTGGTTGGCTTGTATAAACAGACTTTCCAGAGTTAGTAGGATTCATAGCTTGATTTACATCTTTGTCATGTTTACTGTACACTTTGCTTTGGTTGGCTGGTTAGTGTGATGGTCTGAGTGGTATGTGTGGGCTACAATCTCAACGAGGAGGAGTGAAATACAACTATTCTGGATGTTAGCAGTCGTACCATAAATAAATAAAGCGTTTCATGTCATCGATACAAAGTACAGTACCAATAAAAGAATGGCTCTTCGTTACTTATCAGGCTGGTTTTACATCAACTCAAACATAAAAAGACATGAAGGTTCTCTGTGAGCAGGACTCTTCCTCATTCTTGTCTTATATGATCAATTAGTTTTTATTATGGGTGAGCTGATCTGGTCAATAAGTGACCAAAACGTCTGGAACAAGTTTTAATAGTCCTGCGAAATCAACAAAAAGCTGAATATGGCAACAATAACACACTTTTTGGTTAACGTAGAATGATTAAAAAACAGTGAAAAATACATTTTCTGCCACAAGTACAATTAATTAATGATTAGGATAGACACTGTTTTGATTAAAAACGTAGCACACAGTCTGCATTGCAGCAATTTAGTTTAAAAAAAATAATGTTATAAAAAAAAAGACCCATAGCTCTTTTTCTCCACACAAACATGCTGAAATGACAAAAGGCCTGTGTTTTAACATTCTGCTTTTGTAAAACTTCAAGATAGAAGTAGCACTTAATCTTTGATCCAGCAAACCGTACATACATTATAATACAAACAGGTGATAAAAAGATCACTTCTGTCCCCATGCGTTGGTCGGTTCCTACGCTAATCCAGTGAGTGAGAGCACTGAAAAGCGAATTTGTGAGACATCTCAGTTTGTTGCAAAAAAGACTAATATGAACAAAAAGGCCTCTGGGGTGTATGATCACATGCCGACAGCCCTCTATGTACAGTCTGACACTTTTAGCTCATTCAGAGGAGGCAAAGCAGGATGTGCAACCCGCCTGGAACAGAGTCCCCTGCAGAACAACAGGATACAGTCTCATAATGAAACCACGCATCAACAAAGAAGTTGTGTCTCCAACATAAAAATAAAAAAGAAGACGTAAAATGATCATTTATGAAGATTATGTGAAAGGAAGCCTTTTCAAAATGTGTCCTTTGGTTTTGCTTAAGACGTTGGAGGGTATTGTCTGGCTTTATTGACTGTAAATTGATTTCTATTATAAGAACTGTTGGATTTTAGCCATTTAAAATGATATGTCTTGATGTGCACAATACAAAATGCACAAGACAAGAACAATTCATCAGCATACATCAGAATCACAACAATGCACTGCCTGTTTCAGTAGCAAGTAGCATCTGGCAAATGTTGATTATAGTAGTGAATGAAGATATTAGTCCCTTGTTGAGGGGGGCACTGTTCCAGTTTTTACTGTTGACTTTCCATGAAAAAACAAATGTCCCATACTAAGATTATTTCACACACACACACACACACACACACACACACACACATACACAAAGAAAAGTTCTCAAAATGATACATAGAAAACACCTGCTTTGCTTAAAAGGCTAACTGTACTGGTTTAAAGAGAAACGAGGAAGGGTGAAAAGCCAGTCCAAAAATAAGGCCAGCTAAATTGCATAGAACGTCAGTAGTGCACTGATGCATCAAAAGGCTGTGCTCCTTTCCTCTGTCAACTTTGGCAACTCTGCAGAGTTCCCTCAGAAACCACCAGGACTCCAACACCATTCGTCTCCACTCCTTGTTTTGTCTCCTTGGCAGAAGACACTTAAACCCCAAGCTGTTTAATTTGGATTGCAAACACCCCACCTGGACTCTCGTAAATCATGTCAAAAACAAAATAATGGTCCAATGGAAGGGTACAGAGATTTTTAAATTGAAATTAAATATTAAAAAGTATATTTAAAGATGGATCTACTTTTTGTTATGTCGAGGAGCACAATATGTACTATTTTCAATTCCTTTAGAAAAAAAGGACATTAATAGGGTAAGAATTTGTACAAAATACTTCTCAGCCGGTTTAAAACATTTGAGATTTTTTTTTCTGCTCCCCTAAAATGATGTGAAGCTCTGGACAAGGATCCAGCGAGGCAGCAGTGAGGAAGAGAGCACAGCTCGGACTATTTGCACCCTTTATCTTTGTGAAGCAAAGACACCCTACCACCACTTTCTAAACAACAGAAATAGTATAAAAGCACCGGTTCTGGGCGTGCATCAGTGAGCACGACTATCAGAACTTTATTTAGGTAAAACAGGCCCAGATTAAAGTTGTTCCACCTCTCTAGCAGGATGGAGCTCTATACACATTTAGCCCCTGTGAGAATGAGTGGCGTTCAGGAGGAGATGGGACAAAGCCCAGCTATGCGGCCATCAACTAACGGGCACTTCAGCCTCTGCGTCCTTGTCCGAAATCTCATCCTGGATCTCATCTGTGTTCCCTGAGTCGCTGCTGGCCACGGAGCTGACAGAGGGAGAGTTCCTGCCTCCTTTAATCATCCGTCGGCAGGTCTCCATCTGCACGTCCAGGCCCCTCTTCATGCTGCACATCTCCATGTACTCATGCAGGTGTCGGTTCATGTCACTCTTTGCCGTCGCCAATTCCATCTTAAAGAAGGGAAACAGATTAAGTAGAGTGAGGATGTAATTTCAGAGGGTGGGTAGGGATGGTTAATTAGCTTTGTTAGTTGTTGTTTTTTAATGAACTGTCCCCTGAAACATCCTCTCAGCTAATATCTCAAAATAATATAATAATGTTGAATTGGTATACAAATTTGAACATGGTGTACCATTTTAAGATTTATATGTTAATGAAACAATCTATTTCATAATTATAAATGAATTTTTGAACCAACAGCGACTAACTGGACAGTGTCCAAATAAACACTTAAGGGCCAGAATAAAATATAAAAGATGGAGCATTTCCTGGACTAGCTTTATCCCAAGTCCATTCTACATACAGATTTTATACATCATGTAATACATACTATAGTCACAATATACTACTTTAGCAGTTAGTTAATCACCCAAAAATATCAATATACTTTCATACTAATTATTTATACTAACTGGAAATGATACAAAGTGTGCCACTTTGTTTGTCAGTCAAACTGCGACTTACGATGTCACTGCAAATTAAATTCACAGTAGAAAACAAATGGAGCTGTTTCACAACCACACACAATTTGCTTGTAAGTCTTTTTTTCACACACAGAAACACACACACACACACACACACACACTGTCTACCTCGATCTGGCCGATGGTCTCCTGGTACTCCTGCTCTCTGGTCTTAAATAGTGACTCTGTTTCATCAATGAGGCTGCCAAGACTTCCATCCTGGGAGTCCTTAGAGAGCACAGACAGAGGCCTCATTCATCATGCATGAGTAAATGTCTGACACAGCACCCATAGCAATGATCTACACACGGCCTTGCATGAGTCTAAAAACTATATACTGTGCAAAGGACCATCAATGTAGACAGGACTCACTGGATCAGCGGCTTCAGCGTTGCCGTCAGTGGGGCAGGAGTTTGTGCAGGCTGTTGTGGCGATGGTGCACGGTATGTTGTAGTTTGTGAAGTCCTCCCACAGCAGCAGAGTCTCCTCGTTTTCCTCCCACGTCAGACTGTCACAGTCGTCGTCAATTTCGAACGTCTCGCGCCTGGCAACAAAGGAGTTATCTGAACAATGTCTGTGTAGGACAAGGACAGGGAACAGAGGGAACACAAAACAAGACAGGGAGGAAAGGAAGGACAAGTATAACGGCCACGACCAGATTCAGAAAAGGTCACAAGCAAAGAGGAAGATGCGCTTATGAAGGGGACACAAAGATGGAAAGGGAAAGAGTTTATGGAAGACAAGAACAGTCGAGTATACTTAACAGCCAAAAACTAAAAATGTATTTTAGGAGTTAGTGATTAGTAATGAGGCTGTTCCAAAATAGACAATTCACTATTTATATCTGCTGGGTTTTGCTGAATCAACATACTGTATGGCAATTGCAACACTCCATATGAACACTAGAGGGAGATGAAGGAATGCACACTGTAAGTCCAGCCAAACAACCTTGCAGGAAACAACTGTACTGTACTGTACTGGTGTAACTGCAGAGCATATTTAGTTCTATTCAAAGCCAAGAGGAGCTGCTGTGTTTGTGTGTGTGTGTGTCTGAAGTGTCTCTTACAGCTGGTTGAGCATGCGTTTCATTTCGTCTGTGATGTTGAGCGACCCTGGGGTTTCCTCCTCTAAAGGGCTGGGCTCGGCATCCATCTCTGAGCTCTCCTCATCCGACACGGCTTTACGCTCTTTTCTCCTGCAGCAGGCCCCGGCACCCTGCAAACCGCACACACGCAAAGATATAAACACACACGTTGCTTGGCAGTCCAAGGATGAAGCTAATGAACCCTGTGGCAAAACATGATTTTAAGTGTTCAGTTGCACGTAGCTTATGAAATAAATATGTAGTATTGACAAAGGCTACCGCTGTTTGATGATTTTGATCTCATCAGCACTCAATACAAACACAAAGCCTGCTTTGTTACTTATTGTGTGAAATCTGCTTTGTAAACACTGTAAATACAAGAAAACCCACTGAAAGTAGGTACATGCTGTATAACAACATACAACATAAGAGAAGCCACCAGCTTGATTCCCAGTGGATTTATACTTGGGCTTTAGCCAGCACTGTCGGCGCAATGTGATAACCTTGTGTGCAGTGAGGAGTTACCACATCAGCATTCCACTTTTCTGCGTGTGTGTGCACATGTATATGTTAGAGTCACTACCGTAAGTATTCTGTACATGTATGTGTTTGTGTGTGTGTATTGGCGAACACGCAGGTGTATATAATATACCTGCGCCTTCAGAAGGGTCACTCAGTGCATGATCAGCTGGTGAAAAAGAAACTACACACAGTCAGCCACTGGCAGCTCTGATTTCATTTATAGAGTGCTGACTCTATCATAAAGGAATTCATATTTTTGCTGCGATTACCGTCAGCTCCTCTGACAAACAGTGATGGATACCCACCCTCTCTGGAAGCGACCTGGCTGGACTGACGGTGAACATCTTTGACATGTCCTCTGAGTTGCGTTGCTGAGCCACATCGCACAGTTTGGCCGTGATGTCGATCCGCCTGCAGATGTCCATGTCCACATGCCTGGCTTTCTCCTGAATCTTGGTATCCAGATCGGACATTTGCTGCAGGGTTAAGGATAGTTGTTTTAGATCTTAGACCTTCTCACACTGTGACACGTACAGTACGTTAACTTGATTTACAGCTGGCTGATGTTTTATGATCATATTACGTCAGTTCGGTTAGTTCAGTTGGTCATAAGGATTTAACAAAGTCAGTGTTGGCAAAATCATCTCCATACCCGTTTGTCCTTTAGCTCTTAAAGGGACATTTTTAAACACTAGTTGATGTCAAATATGGAGCACCTAAATGTTTACTGTTCATGTCTTTTAAAATGTTTTATGTCTGTTATTTTAAAGACCCTTTTAGGGATGGGCATAGGAAATTAGCTGTAGCTCTAAATGTGATACATTGCACTGGATCATTGTAATGGAATTGTCTATGTAAAATATACTTATTTTTGACAGCTCTTTAAAATGCCATTATTATTTATGATGATTATTTAATGTGTTTGTTTTTTCCTTTCTTAATTTATTCTTTATTATTTCTGTTTACTTCTCTTTCTGTGTGTGAATGGACAAGAACTTGACTTAACTGTCCTATGTTTAATTTGTGTTTGTTTGTTTTTTATGATATTTTTGAAAAACAAAAAAGACCTTAATAAAAAAAAAATGTGTCTTTTATTTAATGACTGATCTGATCTTGTGACATATTTGGTGTTATCTGTTACTGCTGCATATATTGTCCAGGACACTCTTGACAATATCTTTAATCTTAATGAGGCTTTCCTGATTAAATTAATGTTAAATTACAAATATTAGGAACATATCTGTGCATATAGATTATTAAAACCATTAGTTTGCATCATTTTGTCAGTTCAATAATGTTTTTCTATCTCTGTCTTTTTGTAGATTTGGTAGGGCAAATTGGTCACATTTAGATTGGTTTGGACAAAATACAGGATGTCTAACCATAACTAGAAAAACGCGATATTAAACAATCTACGTCCATCTACCAGATCCACTACTACTACGTCACTTACCCGTCTCTGAGCTCACACATCATCAGGGATGAAGTCAAACACAGAAAATAATATGAAAAACACTACAATGTACACATGCCAAAAGAGAAGATAAGCAGGATAAACAACAAAGCTTTCCAAAAACAAAAAAACAATATCTGACTATATTTATCCCTGAGCAAGCACAAGCTGTGTGACTGAGCCCACTGCAGTACATTACAACTGTATATCACGCTAGAGCAGACCTGCCAGGGAACAATACAGGACTGTACAGAACAGGAAGTGCTCCTGATCTACAGCTGCCATTTGAGCTTTTTTCAATGAATGCTACTCTTGGAAGCTTTCTGACATTATATAGTTTTCCCGAAGCTATATAAGGAAGGAAGGAAGGAAGGAAGGAAGGAAGAAAGGAAGGAAGGAAGGGTGTTTCTTTGTTTGGTGTTATTCAGGCCTGTATGAATGACAGCCTTTATCAGAATGACAGACAGGGAAACAATAGTACATTCTTCAAACACTACTGTTGGAAAGCAATACATTAAGTATGGGAGTTAACACAGCACTTTGACTGTGGTGTGAAAGCCTTATCAGGCTTGGGGAAATGCTGACATCACCAAGCACTGAACAAATACTTACATCACTCATCAGACTCTTGAAGACTACAAGTTCAGCCTTCAGTCTGTCCACCTTCTCGTTCAGCTCATCCTGGACCTCGGTTGAGTCCTGGACGCTCTGAGTGGATGTCACAGAAAGGGAATTAAAATAAGACACGTAACAGGTAAACAGTGATATTCTATTAGGGTTAAGTCAAGTGTGTTTACCCACAATAAACTCAATAATAAAGTTTATGAAACAAATTTGCAAAATATATTTATCATTTCTAAAGTGGCGTTTAGCTTTATAACAAACATTCATATGACACATTTGGGTAGATAAAAGACTGACCGATTCAGATAAGGGCCCTTCTAATAAAATAAAGCCTTCATACTGTTATCCACATTGGTTACACTTTATGATCAGGACCCAAAGGTCATAATTTACTTTCCTTTTTATATTTACATAACTGAGATGATGCAGATGTGAGCCTCTGCAGAAAGCATTTAGTAATACTCAAGGTGTTTTAAAGCTGGAGCTGGAGCTGTGTAAAGGGAAGGTCAACATGTCCCAAATCCTTGCATGTGTGTGAACTGATAAAACAAGGTAGGACAGAGAGGATAAAACTGAATCATTTTTTCTCTTTTTTAGAGTCTCAAGAGATAACTGAGTCCACTTTTATGTCTGTATGGTAAATATGAAGCTACAGGCAGCAGGCTTTAACTTAGCTTAGCATAGTGACTAGAAACACGAGGAAAACGGCTAGCCTGGCTCTGGGCAAAGGTAAGAAAATCCACCTACCAGCACCTCTAAAGTTCACTACAGTACACAAATGTAAACATTATATCTTGTTATATCTTATTTGTTTAATTCATGTGCAAAAATCCCCAATTTGTGGTTTTGTGCCAGACTATTTGTTAACCAGGAGCAGTGATTCCCTGCAGTTTTGTTGTCACCCTGAGGTTGCCAGGCAACGTCCAATGCCTTACTTGATAACATAATTATTAAGCACTCTGACCTTTGTAACTTATAAGAAAAACTACCTTTTCTTAGGAGCCTACAAAAAACCCTATTCCGATAATTTCCCACTAAACGGATGATTTATCTACGTGCTCAGCAGTTCAAAGACAAGGTTAAAGGCATACTATGCAGTTTTCCGGTTTTGTCAAACAGCTACCCCTAGAGTCGCTGCGGAGTACTTGTATTTAACGTTAACTGTCTCTATATACAGCTCTGCGTCTCTGCACTCACGGCCTGATCCCCCCCCCCGTATACCGGTACATGTTCAGTAGGATGGAAGCGTCGGACATCGAACAGGCAAAGATAGACTCCGAAGATGTCTGCTGACCAGGTAACATCTGAGTGAATGCCTGCTAGTGTCTTCCATTGAGGCTGCTTCTTATGTCGCTGATGTATGTCACGTAAAGCAATTTGTGATTCCCACGATATTAGGCGGGGCGCCATCTTCAGACTTGCAATGCTGGTTCTGTCAGTGGCGTCCCTCCCAAGCGTTGCTTGATGATTCGCTATACAACAAGTTCGTTTACCATTGAAATTACTTCAAAGCTGTTATATTAAGGTAAAAATCTTGCATAGTATGCCTTTAAGACTGAAAGATGACTAACCCTGTCGATTTTATTCTGTCACTAGAAGAGTGCCAGTTTTTGCTTCTGTATTAAGTCAGCACATGGTAACAGCCCTTTGGCTCAGAGCCCTTAACAATAAATGGCTGTTTGCACTGAATTTACAATCTTTGAACAGATTTCCATGTCTTCCATACACAACAACATCTGTGTGAGTGCTCCAAAAAGGTTAAAGCCCCCAGGGGGGATGGCACTCCACCTCTCTATCTGGCATTTTTGCTGACCCAGAATCCAAGACAAACACGCATGCTGTCACAGATCGATTTGTGCAAAAGCAGAGAGAGGGCGGGATGCCGACTATATGAGGTACTCACACCAGCTGGGATGGTGTACGTGTTGTGATATAGCCTTAAGGTGTGACACTTTAAATTGATTTTGCCTCTAAATCTATTTCCTCTGCCTGCTCTGAACAGAAACATAATGGTAGGCTGCTGGTGATATTTGATGTTCATATCTATATCTAGGCCAACAGACTCCTCTTGATGGGTTTGTAATGTGGTTTTTCTAATCTGACACACATCCTCCTGGCTGTAGCAGCTTCAAGTCCGGCTCTGAATGAAAGACCATTAAAAAACTGAGCTATAAATGTTGATGCGTGTGCTGTAGTAGCAGTTTTGAAAATGCCACACTCAGATTTTATTTGTGCTCCTCGTCTGCATGTGTTAAATGACCCTTGGCATGACTTCATAGATGTGGATGAACATGTCTGTGGAATACATTTTATTGTTTATGTTTCCCAACCTGCTGCATGGATTCCACCGTGGACTCCAGCTGCTGTCGTTTGGACAGCTCTTCCTCCCATCTGCAACACAGAGCATAGAGGTGGGTCAGTTACTGCTGGGCCTGGTCCCTTGGGGGCCGCTAGACAGGTTGATGGTACTTTTGTGGGGATAATACTCCCATCTCCGATTACAAAATGCCCTTGACAGTGTGGGTTCACACCCATCCCATCCCCCCTCCCCCTATTTTCAATCTTTTGTCTCTTTCCTCTTTTGTACGGTGATCTTTACAACCCCACTGCCTCAATAAACTAGAATGGAGGTCCATCCTTTTCCAAACACATCAAACATTACTCATGAATAGTTTTTGAACCTTTGAGTCACTGCAGAAGGACATTTGAGCTTTAACACACCCAGAAAGGGTGGAGTGTCTCTGCCGCAGCCTAAATTCCTTCATGCTAACTGCATCTTTCTTCGTGAAGTCTCAGGAGTGGGGAATCTGTTCACAGGATCTCACTGGCACTCATAATTCAAAGCAAGTGAAATTGTCATTCATGCTTTTGACAGAGATAAAAACTACAGAGACAGAGCTTTACGTAATGCTACCAGCCTTTGTGCAGAGCCATTAGTAGAAATTCCAATATTTATTGAAGATAAGGTAGACTGAATTATTTATCACATCATAGTCGCCAGTTGAGCAAATAAGTCACACTACAACAAGCAGCTCATATTAATGGTTAAAATACGGCCCTCTAAGCTAAAAGCTAACATCAGCATGCTAACATCCCCAGAATGACATTAGAGAAGTATGATGTTTACATGTTCACCATATTACTTTAGTGCAGTGGTTCTCTATACTGTAGGTCCCCCTGGTGGGGCACAGGGCCACTGCAGTGGGGATGGCCAGGGGAAAATATGAAGTGAAACTAATGAAAGGAATGTGATTTTCTGCAAGGAAAATAAACAAGCAAGAGTTTGCTGATGCTATCATGCTATCATCACTTATTTAACTAAAATTCAACTTGGATCCTTTTTCATTAGTTACTTAGCCTATCATTGGTAAAGATGATAAAATATTGTGCGGTGGGGCATGAACCTTTTTCGGCCTATGAAGTGGGTCACCTCAGAAAAAGTTTGAGAACCACTGGTTTAGCTTTTTAGCATGCGGCAGCATCAGTACAGCAGATGCTGATTGGAATGTCTGGGGATAACAAAAGTGATTATAATTCATCCTCGGGGGGGGGCATGACTGTTTGTATCAAATTATATGGCAATCAATCCAATTGCTATTGATATCGTGTGATGGACCGAACAACCAACAAACTGACCAATCGGCGGACGAACCATCCCTCGAGTCACGCCGCTAGCATGGCTAAAAATAAAGTGCCAGACCACCCCGCTGGCTGCAAGCCATGATTAGCAACACAGTTCTCTTTCCCTCTCCTGACGGATCATATTACTCATCTGCACCATGGCAGCTATGTAAAAACAAAATTAGGAGCCTTTTTTAATTGCCCTGCAGTATGTACTGCACACACGGCACACAACGCTCAGCCCGTACTGCTTCAGTCTCCTAAGATATGAGATAGCCAGCATGCTGAGTCACGGATGCTTCCCAAAACAGAGTTTGATGTTCCGATTGGATAAAGAGCTCATTCAGTAATATGAGGTAACTACACAGACACCCATGTGATGATGAGACACAGTGGGGGGTTTTCTGTGTGTGTGTGTGTGTGAGAGAGAGAGAGAGAGAGAGAGAGAGAGAGAGAGAGAGAGAGAGAGAGAGAGAGGGAGACTGGGTCAGCCTGAGCCAGTGGGAAGATTTGTGTGTACTAGTATAAGTAGCACATGCCTGACCATATATGTGTTTTCTTGAAGGGAGAAAGCTGATATACGATGACCACTGGTGAATTCTGGGACATAACTGTAGCTTACCCATAGCCTTTACCATGGAGAAACACAAACACAGCCAGAAGTCACTTTGTTTCACAACATGCGTCACTAGAGGTTCACTTTCTCAACAAAACTCAGCTTGTTTCCATTCAGGACTCACTGAATGTACACTGTCTAATTAAAGAGAAGTATTCCTTGGCAGGGCGTGCCAGCTTGCACTGTGATTGAAGCCTTGTTCTAAAAAACGCTGGCAGCGCTGCTTTACTGTGTCCACAACACTCCGCCTGTCTGCCGCAGGACTCTGGCTAAGGTCAGTGGAGTTCACAACTGCATCACATCCTCTGCAGACACAAATCCGTCTGTCACAGCATCTGCATCGCGTGTTGTCACTTCCTGAAGAAACCACCAAGGCCTCTCTTTTAATGCTGTGGGTGATAACTGGATGTCATTAAATCGACCTACTGATGGAGGGAAAGCCTTCCCTGTGTCAACAATGTGTCAATGTTATTTATGTCATCTATCAAAGGTAATGGAATCATTGAAAGAACAAAGCGGCAGCTGCTTCCACATCATCTGGAGCCGTTACCATTCAGCAATCTATAAAAGTCAAATGGAAAACCGCCGACCATCCAAATTATAATGGCTAATCCAAACAACGATGACACTACAGCTTACCAAAGGTATTCTATCTGGCCTCTCAGCCATAGCTATGGTTCTGGTTTTCCTGTACCTTTGGTGTGACTCAGTCAAACGAACACACCCGGAGTCTCCTTACAAGGACAAAGACAGCAGGAGGGTTGGAGCCTGTGTCAACTCACTGACATCTGTTTATTGCCACACATATCCTCTGCAATCTTACTCTAATAAATCAAAAACTGTGCAGGGGTTACAGATGTATTAGTTCAGCCAAAAAAGCCAACTGAAATTGCTGCAATATACAGAGTGGTTTCTGTTTTTGGAGGTAAAACTAAAACTAAAATAGAAAGTAAACAAATCACACATAATGATGAAATCATGATCATGACACATTTAAAATAAAGACTGAATGATCTGTATTTTGTATTTGCCCAATTTCTCAACGTATTAGTAATGATTCCTCCAATCCAATTGACTAACAAACATAAGGTAATTATGTCATTGTATTAAGTCAGGATTGACTAAATGATTAACTACAGTGGCACTTAAGTAGAGTTGTTTAAATGAAATGAAATTAATTCAATTCATAAAAAATAAAAAACTACTACTAAAACAACTACGTATTCTGTGATTCATGAAAAACTGTGATTTAAGAGGATATTGCAGTGCAACACTGAGGGGGGGAAAGTGTAGTGTCTCACATCAAACAGACATTTTCTCATACAATTTTTGTCTGTTGAACAATAGGCATTTCTGCAGTGCTTGCCAACTAACACTCCCTGCCTTGTGAGGTATGTCTGGGAGTTATGCTTGCACGCGAGCTGGCTGAATGTTTTCCCATTACTGTGCCTGCGGACACAGCATGCACACATCCACATAGACTAATGTTCTTGGGCTTGGTACTTTCAAATGACAAGGCTCACAGTTAGAGTTTTATGGCACCCATAATGATTTAGTTGATTTATCTCCAGAATCTGACAGAATGATGAAAGATATATCTTGGAGGTGACTGGTAAATAATCAAATACCATTTTAATGATCAAATTATTTTCAGTTGTTCAAATTCCAAAGATCCCACAGTGTGATCACTTATGCAACCAGCAGTAAATACCAAAGGAGCGCAGGGAAAACTTTGAGGTGTGGTTGCGTATCATTCTATAAAGCCTTTGTTGCTCATAGCAAATAAAATTTGAGTCAGACAACACCCTGTTTAAACTATACGATGTACTGGAAAGTGTAACTTACTCAGTGGAATCTCTCAGCAACCAGACATCAAATTACAAGCTTGAACTCTGATCCTGTGATTAACCCTTAAACACACAGCTTTAGGGACTATGTTACACTGCTTCTGATTCATTTATTTTTTTTATTTTCACCCATAAGTTCCTCAAACTATTTAGTTTTGACAATTTTTGTATCAAAGTCTACCATTTATATCACTGAGAGAAGGCTAAATAACGGAAACACCTCTCTGTGTGATCAAATACAGTTCAACAGCATCATAACATCCTCCAAAAGGACCATACAGTTGAATTAACACCTCTCTAAAACAGCTTCCACAAAAACTGACATTATCCCTTTCATGAAGGGCGGATTTATTGCAGGACTGTTACCATAGGATGTATTACACTGCATTAGGTTTAGCTAGGTGTACCTAATAAACTGGCAACTGCTTGCGTACATTGAACTGTTGTTATGCTCATCCCTGACAAACACACTAAATAAATACTTTAAATAGTAATATGGTAAAACTTTTAGGGTTTATTATTATTATGGTGTATACATATATATACATATATATTTTTTGGGGGGTGATGATTATATATTCAGGTGACTATAGACTAATGAAAATATAGTTATGCATATTATATTAGATTTCTGCCAATAGAGCCTCCTAAATATTACACACTGGACCTTTAATTGTGGTGCAGAGCGGGTCGTCCCCTAATCAGAAGGTTGTTGGTTCGATCCCCGGCTCCTCCTGCCACATGTCAAAGTATCCTCGACAAGACACTGAACCCCACATTGCTCCCGTACATCGGTGTGTAAATGTGTGTGAAAGGGCGAATGTGGCACATAGTGTAAAAGCGCCTTGAGTGGTCGGAAGACTAGAAAGGCGCTATACAAGTACAGGTCCATTTACCATTTAATTCATAGATTAACCTGTTTTGTAGAACCGGGGTATATAGGATATACCAGAGCATGTATGGGTTACTGGAGGTACCCTAATATAATGCTCAACCTACCTACATCTGATGTGTTCATTCATTTATTTCACTTCATTATCACTTACACATATTTTCTTAAATGTTTGTGAGGACACAAATTTGTCATGTTCCTTTTTCTAAAACAAGGCTCTTAGTCTAAAGACTATAAAGATATTTTAATAGGGCCATTACAATTCATTCTCATGAGTGCAGGCAATAGTAAAACAGGAAGTGTTACATGATAACAGATTCAAGGATCAATACATCTGGCTACATGCAGGACAAACACCCATTCAGCCTCGGCTGCTCGTATGAAATGAGGCCACTGACAGCTTTGATAAATCAGA